TGCAATAAAAACAGCACATTTAACGTCTTGAACAAATTAGAAGTTCAATTTGTCTTCCTGCAATTCATGATATTTAATCTCTGTTCCAAAAATTATAAATTCCGAGTAATGTGTTTTCTAGTGTTTTACATCTGCCTTTTGGAATTTTTTTTTAAATCTTGATTTCGAAAAAAAATCCTCTCTTATTTCAAGTGACTAATTCATCATAAATAATTAGATATGCTATTGAGGAAATGTTTAGAATCTTTGGTCTTGATTAGAATAATCTACATGTGTAACACTTAAATCACTAAATCTTGAACCGGGATATTCAAAACAGAGAATTGTATTTGATTGTAAGTCTTGTTATTTCGGTGGTCCAATATTTCGGATTTTTTCCATTTTGTTTTGTTTTTGTTTGTTTGTTTTTGATTGCTTGTTTGTTCGTTTGTTTGTTGTTTTTTTTATCTTTATGCCAGCATCAGATTTAAAACAGAAGTAAATCTGAAACCTTGAGTGATTGAGTAGTACCCATAAAATGATGTAAATTTAACCCTTACCTTTTTCAGGATAAACCTTATGTGATGAAAAAGGCCCTGGAGCCGGGAGTTGACGGTTCAAAGCTGGGCAATGACTTGTACGAGGGATTCTGTATTGATCTCCTGAAGGAAATGGCGGCCATTGTTGGGTTTGAGTATAAAATCGTCCCTGTTGAGGATGGCCTGTACGGTATGCTTAACGACGGAGAATGGAACGGGATCGTCCGAGAACTCATCGACAGGGTATAACACACCATTTCCTCTGATTTAATGTACACAGATACTGCATTCTGTTATGCTATTTAATTGGTTATTCTTCATTTATAGAAATACATTCATTGATTAATGTGATGCAGCAAGCATTTGATTCACTTAAGGGAAGCTCTTTGTTTGGACAGAAATATAAGGTGCAAGCTGCCTTCTACCTATCTTTTCACATTAACTGATGTGCTGATCACAAATATGTCTCACCAACCTTTCAATTTTTCTCAGAAAGCTGATTTGGCAGTTGCTGCTTTAACCATCAGTTACCTCCGGGAACAGTACATTGACTTCACCAAACCATTCCTTAATCTTGGCATAAGCATACTATTCAAAACTCCAGAAAGAAAGAAACCGGGGCTATTCTCGTTTCTGAACCCTCTTGCTTTGGAGATTTGGGTGTATGTGGTTGCCGCCTACATGTTAGTGAGTTTCTGTATATTCGTGCTGGCGCGATTCAGTCCGTATGAGTGGTATAACCCCCACCCTTGTAACCCAGACACGGACACAGTACAGAATACGTTCGATCTCTCCAACAGTTTTTGGTTCTCGGTGGGGACTCTCATGCAGCAGGGCTCTGACGTAAATCCGCGTGCTATTTCAACCCGGATTGTTGGCGCCACCTGGTGGTTCTTCACACTAATAATTATTTCATCCTACACCGCTAACTTGGCGGCATTTTTGACAGTTGAACGAATGATTTCTCCCATTGAAAGCGCGGAGGGACTAGCAGCCCAAAATAAAATTAAATATGGAACTTTAGAAGGAGGATCTACGATGACATTTTTCAGGGTATTTTGATACTTTAACATACATGTATATTATGAAAGTAAGTTCTAGAAATAAGAAGTCTAAATACAGTTAATGTCACCATTTTCATTGAAACACTTGTTATAAATTTATGGTAGTCAGTTACAATATTCTACAAAAAATTGTATCTATATTTCTGAATATAACACTTTTTTTTTTAAAACTGAATAGAAGATTTAAAATTATTTTCTTTTAATTTCAATTTCGAAATAAGAAATATTAGACTAGTATCTTTCATAACAGGAAAATCATATATCTATATTTTGGCTTTCGATAAATACAGGATGTAGTCTGTTTATAGTCGCATTAAAAGATTGTTTTATTGTTATTTTAGGATTCCAAAATAGACACATATCGTCGAATGTGGCACTTTATGAGGACTAACCCTGATATGTTCGTGAAGGACGCAAATGAAGGCGTTGCGAAGGTCAAGGCCGGTAACTACGCCTATTTAATGGAATCTACATCTATTGAATACGAGGTTCAGCAGAACTGTGACCTTATGCAGGTCGGGGGTCTTCTGGACTCCAAGGGATTCGGAGTTGCCACGCCCATGGGTAAGTCATAGAACAATAGTGTCCATGAGGTTTTAGACATTACTTCTATTTTGTACTCTCCACATCCTCACAACATCAGGGGTCCAGAGTCAACGCGTTGCCGTTGGACCCCTGACAAATTTCATTCGGTTTTATTGGGGCTTGCATCTCTCACTGAGAAGCATCAATCAAAATGAAGTAGACAAATAATGTGAACAGAAAGGAATCAGTTGACACCTAAAATGCACGTGTTACGCATTATTTATCACCGAAAAGTTTAATGTGATTGGTTGAGAGATAAGAAAAACAATCAAAATTTGTCATTTTCCCGAAAGACGTCTCTGCAGTCAGCCCGCCAGATACCGAATGTGTTGTCTCAGGACCCCTGACGTTGTGAGGATTTACTTTCCAAATCTTATTTAAGAAAGGAACGAACATTGACTGCAGCAAACTTCGTAACTAGTATAATATTTTTTTTAAATTCAGTCTTTAACATATTAGACATTTCTAATGCCGACACTGAACCAAAAAGAATAAATTTTAACATTTAATGAATAATCAACTAGGATGAAGGCTTATCGAAATTGAAGAAAAAACACTTATTGTTTATCCCCTTTGTACTTAGTGCTCTAATGCACAGGGTTCCTAAAGCCTTTTTTCATTATGCATGAGTCTACTCTACTTTTTCCTACCCCGGCTCCCATGAGAGGCCAGTGTCTAAAAGAAATTCAGTCAGAAACACATAAAAAATACTGTTCATTCCTCACACGTCCGATAATGCATATCAATATTTGCACGCCTTTTAGACTTAACAGACACATTAGGGCTGCTTAGCGTCTTTTGACCATAATTCAAAGTTCGTGGTTAATTTATTTCTGTCTGTAGGTTCACCATTAAGGGATAAGCTGTCACTGGCCATTCTTCACCTACAAGAGGACGGCAAAGTACAGGAACTGTACAATAAGTGGTGGAAAGGGTCAGGCAAATGTATGTCTGAGCGCAAAGCCATAGAGTCCAAGGCCAACGCGCTGGACGTGAATAACGTGGGCGGAATATTTGTGGTACTCCTCGGTGGTTTAGCAGTGGCTGTCATTGTGGCCTTCCTAGAATTCATTTGGAAATCCAAGAAAAATGCCCGAGAAGACAGGGTAAGGAGTTATACTGACCAATTTTATAACACAGTATTGCTATTCTAACAAGTTGGGTGCATTTTCAAAATTTGCAGAGTAAATGAAATCGTAATAGATATGCAGAGAAAAAGTTTTAACCGCATGAGCATCAAAATATGCCTTTATTCAATTCTTCACTAACTAGGGATAAAAAGAAACATATTTTTTATTTCAGCAATCATTGTGTTCCGAAATGATACAAGAGCTCAAGTTTGCAGTTCGATGTCACGGTTCATCAAAAAAATCCAAAACAAAGCGGAGATGTGCAAAGTGTAAAAAAGGTCATAACGCCTCCTGCCCATTGTCTGTTGATATGCCAAAAGATTCTAGTTCATCTAATGGAATTCTGCCCCTCAGGGAACTCAGAAAATCCCCTGTATCTAGGGGTAGGGAATTTTCATTTGGAGAGGGGGCATACATGCACGTGGAATATAGTGACGCAGAGACGTGACAAAAGGATTGCTCCGTCACAAAACGGATAATTTTGTCAGTGTGCCTTATTACACTCGTATCATTTCCTCTTTGGTGTATTTATTTGTCAGATCGTTCTCTGTTTACAGGTTATATATTTCATGTTTATTCATGATCGTGACTTTTCGCTGAATAATTTGTGATAGACTGTGATATTTTCCATGTTTCATTTGATCATTTCATCAAGTCATCATCAATTGGACATTGTCTTATAATGTGAAATGAATACTAGTATGTAGAGCAGTATTGTCATATATTTTATTTAAATTTTGTTGTTTACAAGAGTTCTTTCACTTGATTATCCATTTGGATAAAAACATCAAGATTATATAATGAAGCTTGTATTCAAGTCATTTTAAATAGTAAAGACGTGACTTTGTCTTTATTATTTTATGTTCTGAGTTTCTCTGCTAGGGGAGCATTTTGTTAACATGAATTAAATATTAAATGAAAATTACCCAATTAATTTCTTTTTAAATACGTCAAATGAATTATTCATGTATATAAGATAAATTACAGTGAACATATATTTGGTTGTTACTACAATTTGATAATGCATAATCACTAGTATAGACTGTGAGACATACTGAGTTACAGCCCATATTAAAAGTCCACAAGTCATTGTACATGTAGTTCGTATTTTGCCCATAATACAATAGAGAAAAAGAATACGTGAAAGGTTATTCAGAGAGAGAGAAAAAAAAATTCCAACTACGCTGTTATCTTGTGTAGGAACTACAGACTAGTTACACTGAAAATCTTCATAGGTTACATTGAAAATCTTCAAAATGTCGTTAAACATTACAGAACTGTTTTGGATAAGTGTTATACGTTTGTGCCACTATTTATCCTCTTAATCTAGAACTTTAATCTATGGCCATATTCAGAGGATATATAAAGATGATTTATGATTATAACTGATTTAGATTAGTGAAGTGTCAGGGTTCTTTTACAGTTTAGTACAATATTGACTATCTTTGACCTAGATTTAACATATTTAGAACATTTTCTTCCAATATTGCACAATCGTCATCCACCTTTTTGCTTCCTGTGAAAATGCATTTGGAAGTAACATAATTGGAATTACAGGTTTTACGACTCAGTTATTGCACATTGTTAAAATCATTAAAAGTTCCTTCAATTTTTAGTGTTTGTGACAAGTGGTATTGGCGTCAATTGATTCATTAACTGTATAACAGTCTGGTTTTCCAACATGATGTATATCTCGAAACTTTTTAGACTTCACTTGAACTTTCAGTCATAATTCTGTCAACATTTGTTGAAGGAATGATGCCATTACTGAGAGTTTTCTCTTGATCACTGTTTTGCAAAAGCAGCACCTTTTCTTTAATTGGTAAGTTCTGATTGTTTAGCGTATCGCAGTCATCGCACTTCCGCTCGTCTTCGTTCTTCGTTTCCAAATCGTCCGCTGCAACGCTTAGCGACGAGACACTTTTGGGAATTCTACGAAATTTACAGCATCTAACAGCAAAGTAGAGTTGCTGTTTTACTTCAAACCACAATGAATTCTGTAAAACAAAATAGCCATCAAAAAGCTCACAATCATATCTTTTGTGTACAAAAAGTACATGTATATGAGTTCTGTAAAACAAACAATCCAAAAACTCAATATTACCACGTGATTTGTATACAGTAAGTACTAGTATACTGAATACGATGTTTACGTAAAATGAACGACTTATTTGTCAATGGTGCGTTTAACATATAATTAAATATACCTCTCCTTTCTTTGATATCTTTCTTGCATTGCAGATGAATTCAATTATAGCAATCAGCAACCCGCAGACAGTCCCCGTCAATACGAGAACAAAGACGCCCCCTACATTCTTCAGTTCCAAAGCCTTTGTAGATGGCGCTTTATTGTCGTCACAAAATTTGTTGATATTTTTTCGTTTCCACCATTTGTCGTACAGGGATTGAATTACTCCCCCTTCTTGTAGATGCAAGATGGCGCTTGATAGTTTGTCTCTATATGGTGAATCTTGAAAAAAAATTATTTTGAAAATCAAAACAAATATATAACGTAAAGATGCGTTTTTATCTAGCTGGTGAAATAAATTAAAGTCATACTTTATATATTCTGCTAATTTTAAAAACACCTGAATGTCGATCACTAAATACGGTCAACAAATAGGATTTGCTTACATGATTGTCCTAGACTATAACAGTAGATCTGAGTTTACCTAATATACTAGTTAATTCTTCAACTGTTATTGAAAAACTTTGCTGTGCTTAGACAAAAAGAAATTAGAGTACCATGAAGCAATTACAATAGTTTTGGAATCCTTTTTCTAAGACTATTTATATATTTAGTTCAATTTGTCAGCATCTTACCTCTGGGGAGTCCAATTCCATACCCTTTAGAGTCAAGTTGTTGTCCCACCTGCATTAGGTCACAGTTCCTGGCAATTCTATACTCTACCGTTGTCGATTCAGCCAAGTAAGCATAGTTTCCCGCCATTACTCGCTTTTCTCCCTCATTGGACGATTTTACAAACACGCTAGGAGTAGCTGATTTCATGGCCATATACATCTTTTTGTATAGTTGGGCGTTGGAGCCCTGTAAGCACACAATGCTCAAAAAGATCAAATTAATCCAATTTTACTATGAATAAAAACAAACGAATTTGACCGTTAACAAAAATGAAAACTCAATCAACTAAACTTCACGGTGACTCACAGCAAAAAATGCTCTACTGCTCCCCGATTCGAGTGTCCCATACTTGATTTCGTTTTGATTTGCCAGATCCTCTGCGCTCTCGATTGGATTCACCATTCTTTCAATCGTGAGGAACGCAGCCATATTGGCGGTGTACGATGAAATCATGATCAAGGTAAAAAACCACCAGACGCCTGCTACCAAGCGAGTTGATGTTGCTTTTGGAGAAATCTCTGAACCTATTTCATTTTAAAAGTACTTGTTATGAATTAATTCACCCAATACACGGAAGTAATTCTTACTAAAAAAACAAATCAACTGAAAGACTTCCACTACACCTTGTTGCATTAATGCGCCAATGGTGAACCACAGACTATTCATGACAGAAAACTGGTTTTCCTGGATATCGTTTTGGGCGTCACACGGGTAAGGATTGTCCCACTCGTTAGGGGTTAGCCGGGCAGTAACAAACATCATTATACTGACCACAATATACACCGCTAACACGTAGGCCCAAAGTTCGAATGTAAAAGGTGAAAGAAATTTAAACAGTTCGGCGGGGGGTGCCATGGGCTTCCGAAATAGGATCGTAATTCCAAGGTTCCAAAAGGGCTTTGTGAAGTCAATGACCTCTTCCCGGCTGTAAGTGATAGTCATCCCTGCCACCGCTAAATCGACTTTCTTGATGAAAAAATATGATGATTATTATATTACACATAGTCATGAATGAAGCTGTGAGCAGGTAAAAATCACATTTCGTATCTATGCAGGTACATGTACCAACTCATTATCGTCAGAATCTTTAAAGGAACTGATGAAATTTATTTCTAAAATGACATTTCTAAATAAACTTGCCCTCTCTACTAGCTGTTTGACCATTCCATCACAGATGTCGCCATCACAATTACCATAGTGACCGTTTGGTTCAGGGGTCACATTGTAATTGAAGCCGAGTATTTCAGCGATAGAATCCAAAAGATCAATGCAAAATCCCTCATACGTCACTGTACCGTTATCGTCTATGACTTCGAACACGTAGGGAGGTTCCTGAAAACAGATTGAATTTAATGTTTAATACTTGTAATATACATTTATTGACTGGGTTCGAGGGCAACATGCGTTTTGTTGGACCCAAGAACCAAACTGTTTGCCTGAGATTAGGCCTCAGGCAAACAGTTTGGTTCGAGGGGTCGACAAAACGCATTTTGCCCGAGAACACAGTCAATAAATGTTTTGTTAATACCTTTTATTTACTTGTTGTTGTTTTTTTTTCTTGACATACATGTACATGTATGTCGAACACCAACGAATGCAAATGAGATTTAACTGACCCCGCCCGTTGTGTGACGTAAGAGGTCCAACATCTCATCGACAGGTCCAATATCTCACTCCGCGGTCAAACATCGATTTTTTTATGCCCGCTCAGTAAAACATTGGAAATGTTAGACTTTTATTAGTACTGATTTATATAGGAACAAATTTTTAAAGGTATAACAATATATATTATTTATTGTTATAATTGTAATTCTTTAACATTCCATACATCTATATTTAATTGAAACAGCTTAATATTCAAAAATACATTAGACTGAATTCCGTCAGATTGCCATTTCATATATCTTTTTTCACGTCCATTCTTATTTTTTTTTTACCAGTTATCACCTTAAGGTATTTAATTCAATATTTTGTTGAAAGAATCACAAAACGTACAACACAGGTCTTTGTCATGCCTTACCAAGACTGTGATGACAGAGAGCGTTTTATTGGTCAGAAGGTTCTTTCTGACGTCACTAGGAAATTCGGATTTAGCTGTGATTTTTATCCCTCGTATGTGGTCCCAACTACCGATCTAATAAAAACAAAACAGTGGTCCCGTTAACTTGCAGTTCATAATAAATATTGCATCTTGATTATCAAGATGTTCTAAGAAGAAATTTGTATCAACAATATTGTGTTTGTATTTTCCTGCTGTTGAATTGTGAGACCAACATATTAAAGATATCGAATTTTCTTGCAGTACTAATACATGTATAACAATCGGTCAAAGTAAAAACGTGAAGAAAATACCTTGTAGAGAGGCTTCTCTTTAACCTTAACCACGTCAAGAGAGAAATTATGGCGTTGTCCAAGATTGTCCAATCGGATCCTTCCAGTCAGTCCCTCATACGTCACCTAGGCAACCGTTTAATCAATGAATTGTCGAGTCATACAATACAGAAAGAAGTGTAATCAAAGCCTTCTATGTATCTTACCATCTTGATAGCGCTGATTAGGGAGTTTCCGTTGAACCATGGTAGAGAGTTATTTCCACCTTCACAACTAACTTTCCGGTTAAAATTGACATGTCGCCTCTTTGTAAGGAGGTCAACGCCACGATACAGCATATTAATGGCGTCATGCATTAGCGCTGCTCCAATCTAATATTTAAAAAAAAATTAAATAAATTTCTTTATAGTAATCATGCCAGTCTGTTGTCTGTTTAACATCCAAAAGAATTATTTCCTCAGCTGGAAATAATGGTTTCAGGTTCCAATCATATACATTATTCAGCGACTTTCATATCCGTATAGACAGTACTGACCGGTACTTGCGTTTGACCCGGGGTCAAAGGTGAAAGGCTGAACGAGCTGGATTCTAGTTCTTTCTTCCAGAGATTTACGACAGCAGCAACCTTAGGGTTTTCAAGGTTAACTAGCCTCATTCCCGTCATGTTTGCCCCAGAATACATAAAGGGAGACAAATCCACTATACTAAAATCCTGAACCAAAGATGTAAAGAAATATCAGTACTATTTATGCATAGCAAAGATGATCCGCAGAAGGGATCAAATTACGGCATTATAAATGAATACAGGAAATATTTTAATATATTGAACATTTGAAACTCCAAAAAAATTTTTGAAACTCACCAAATTTGTAAAGTGAAAGTGAAAATACTCGGTGAGTACGTTTACTTGCATAGCCTGAAAAAAAAAACCCAATAAAATGTCAAATTGTTACTACAAGATTTCAGAATTGTTCAAATTCGTATTATGATCATGATACCTTTTTCAATATCAGCTTTATGTGAGTGGCATGACAATCTATTACAATCCTGTTTTCGCCAGCATCTTTAAGGCCTAAAAATAATTCAAGAAAGCTTCCTGGATCCCTAACGTTGAGTTGTTGTAAGTTGATTCTTACGTCTGGTAGAGTAGTCAAACTGAAGATTTCTTGAAGTCGAATTAGACCTGGAGCAGAATTTTAGAACATCACAGGGGTGATATCAATAAATAGGAAATGGGTTTCTTTATTCATCATCATTAATTTGTGTCTCTTGAAGACTTACCTGCGTTATCTTCATAAAGCATCGTAAACTTTCCCCATTTCCAATATTTGATGAGATCTCGGTGTGCTTGGCTGAGTGCGAGATAGTGAGGGAACAAATTAACAGAGACCCCTCGGCTCTCCTTTGACCCGGAAGGAATCTCATTATGGATATTGATTAGCGGGATTTCCAGGTTTTTACTGATAGACTTGATATAATGTGCAGCTTTTCCAGGAGTGGGACCAAAAATGACTTTCGCACCAGCTTCAATTCTGCGACAGACTAAATAAGAGAGTGTTTATTGTACAATATTAAAACTTATGAAAACCCTTACCAATAAGACCTGGTTATGTTTAATTGACTTAAATGTACAAGTACATATCAATTTTCAAATTGATTACAGTTTCAAAATTAGATTGACATTGACATTTTACAATCACTTTACATTATCTTCGTAATTTGATTATCTGGGTTGTTTTTTTTTTTTTACCATCCCTGCCAATGCTTATGGAATTGTTCTTAACTCTGTTGACGGTGTACACCAACAGAATGGGCGTGGTCCTGTTTTCCGGAAGTCCCCTCAGGTTCACATGCTGACACGTCCACCTGAATGACAGCTCCGTGGGCGTGTCTTCCGAGTCAAAGAAACCATCTAGCAGTTCGAATTTCCTTCATTAGATTTTCCTTTCATATTTAGTTACATTTGAGTGTAAAATGATTGATGGATTTCATTGTTAAATTAACTAATAAATAAGATAGATATTAATAACATTAACAGAGATACATCAAAGAATCTACATTAACAGAGATACATCAAAGTATCTTAGCAATTTGCTAGATTCACATTGACGTATAAGTCTATTGTCCCGTGTTTAGATACATTAAATTAATTAACTTTGATGTCACCAATATACCTATTAGTATATCTGTGGTGTCCACATTTCTGAGCACCAGCGTTACCAGGACCAAGGCGAGTAGTGATGCCATTCAAGACAGAACACACGCACCTGTAAATCGTTAGACACTAGAAATGTTCATCAATATCTCTGTTCACGGTACTCTTAAAGAATCGAATCACCAAATGTAGGGTTACTAAATGTCCAAAGATTCATTGATAATGGATCGGTACTACTAACATGACTGTTGTGTTTTATTGGTATTTTTAATATTTTTGAAATATCATGATTAAAAAATATGTGAAATAGGAAACTTAAATGAAGGTTGAAATGAAATTGACAGCAGCATGAAACTATATGAAATGAAAAATTTAGTATATGTAAAATGAGACAATTTTGAAGGAAAAGAATATCCCGAATTAAAAAAAAAATGGAAGATTCAAAATCGCAGAACACTACATTGAATTCGATTATAAATAAATTTACATATATTCATGCTTTGAAACTTTTATTGAAATCCGCGATTGAACCACTGGGCAGGCGGTTGTACAATGTGTCCACATCATTAGACCCCCTCTAAATTCTGTAAAAACATACATAAAGGGAAATCCATATACAGCATTCTTTTGGAATTAAACATTTAGCAAGAAAATGTTTTCAAAAAATTCTATGTCTAGGTAATCAAAATTTGTCGTAGATTATTTTTGGTTTACCGTAAACTTACCTTAGATGTCTGTTTGTTTATTTCACTACAGGGGTAATATGTCCCTGTCTAACCTATTTTCTAAGTCCTCGTGCAGCTGGACATCCTCAATAAAACGCCATCCTCATTTTCAAATTAGCAATCGATTGACAAATCCCAATTTCAAATTTTTGGGGGCTTATAATGCAAAACTTCTCATTCTAAGCGTGAAACGTGAAACACAAACTTAGTTATGTAACTCATCTTTCATAAAAGGATAAATTAACGGAATTTAAATCAACTTAAAATATGCTGTGGACAAATGCTGGTATAATGTTTCTAATTAGTCAAGCCTAATGACAAAGGGAGGAGTCTCAAAGGGGTATCGATGTTGTAATATAAGAAAAAACATGGCGGAGGTCACGGGACTAATAACTTAAGGGATGTTTTATGCAAACATTTTCAGATTTTAACGATACAAATCAAGTGAAATGAGAGTATATTGATTTAATTAATTATACAAGGTACATCAATTAATAGGGATTTAAGCATTTAACAGATGAATAATGAATTATTTTACCTCAAAAATATTTTTTGAGATTTTTTTAAATTTTAAAATCGTGCCTAACGCATCCCTCCTTCTAAAGGACTTGATATAGCAGAAAGAAAATGTGCTGGCACTAAACAACAACTCCTAAACATATAATTCATATATGCAACATAAAAAAGAAAAAAAAAATCTTTTTATTGTTCAATACACCTCACACTTGTTCAAAACAATACATTTCAATAATATTAACTAATTTCTTCAGCACCAAAAATACATGTATACTTGTGATTAAACAGAGAAATCATGCAGTGCCGATACGAGAAAGACGGAACATATGGTGAGATTATAATATGTTTATCTTTTAAAAGACATTTTTATTCGAAATCAAAACCCCTGACAAGCACAATACAAATGTGATATATTCATTCAAAACACTAGGCACTACTTGACCTTTTAAAATAAAGTTGTCATTACTATAGAATAGAAACATTTTCAAGTTACAATTTTAAGTTGTAAGTAATAAATTAAAACTTTTGTTATGACAAGTTCTACATTATGAAATATGAGGGGCGGTGATTTTCACATACTGACACATGAACAAATAATTAGTTTCTCTTCTATCATATCTACACAAGAAGTTAAAACCCAGGAGCCATTTAAAATCTCTATCAACTACATAGGTACTACAGTTGTTGTGACATTAATTTATACAGGAAAAAACTTAAAACTCAAAATATCAATCAAACTTATATACTTTATAAGCAATCTAAAGATCTAGAATAACCACCATTTGATCTATATAGATATATACAGTATGATATAAATATATTAATAGTAAAGACAACATAAATGGCAAACATACGTATCAAACACAATCTCTTCCACCTAATATAAAAGTCTGAGGCTCAAATATGTCCTGTTTTAATTTTTTGAATATATATATATATATATATATATATATATATATATATATATATATATATATATATATATATATATATATATATATATATATATATATATATATATATATATAAAATTCAAATCCAGTTGAATTCAAAACTTCAATTATAAATTATCATATACAAGGAGACAATAAACATATATTTATGTAAAAGGAAAGAAAGGTGGCATTTTTTTACTAATCAGATAATATCATTAAGTCGATAAACTCATTTGGAAACACACAAGTAAAACCTAAATAAACACTACACGGGAATGTTGGAAAAGTAATTCTAATGGAATGAAATCAAATGAAAATTAACATTTATTTACATGACATATAAACTTGCATGGAATGAAAATCAAATGAAAATTTACAAATTTCGATGTACACATGAAAAAAAACTAAAAAATATATCAATATGTACAGATTCTGCCATAAAAACGAATGAGTGTAGTTTCATGAAATATAAAATGTAACATAACTGTGAAAAAATAATTACTTTGGAAAAAGGCAATTTTCAAACAAACTTTATATATTTGAATCTTTGTGGCGTGAACAAGTTAGGCGTGTATATCTCGGATAGTGTTTGCGTACTCGTGTCCTAAAGACGCTGTGGACACTGCATTCCGCGAGAGGTCGCTTTTACTGGCCCTGATCACGTGGTCAGCCGGTTTGGATGAAGGTCCAAAGCAGCGCAAGGCAAAACATAATTCGTCTTTAACTTGAGTACATATCGGGTCCTGCAACACCATGAAGAATTTTTTTAAAAATGTATAATGTAGATATACATATGTAGAAACTCAATGTTTGTGTGTGTGTGAAAGATCAGAGAGAGAGAGAAGAAAGTCGTACCGGAAGATCCCTTTTAGTCCAGGCATAGTAGACAAACTCAATCACTGCTATCACCATAGCGATGCCAACACCGCCCATCAGTACTACAAATACCCCGCCTATGTTCTCGATTTTGAGAGCATTATTATTCTCCTTCTTCTCTGTTTCACAGGTCTGGTTTATGTACTTCCGTTTCCACCATTTGTTGTAGAACTTCTTGATGATCTGTTTGTCCATTAAATATAATATCTCCTGCGATATCTTGTGTCTGTACGGAGAGCCTTGTTACAAACATAAAGGTCAAGATAAAAAATTCATAATTACTTAAGCTGTCAAATATCCAAACAATAACTTTTGGATCCCCACCCGCACCCCGGAAACATACCTCCCTTTCGTTAAAAGGAAGAGACATATTTATGAAGGAACACGTTTTAGACTGTCGCAATTTTGTTTAAATCAATGTAACTTTGTCTAGCTTTTATCTAGTTATCGTGAGAACGTAAGATGGGCAGCAATTTACAATTTGATGGTAAAGTAAGGGCTTGATTTTTCTACCCCCCCCCCCCTAAAAAAAAAATCAGCTGGATTATTTAACTTTTCTCTTTGCCTAATGAGATTGTTACGTTCGATATCAAAATTCTAACCTTCAGACACAGCTAATTCTTGTAGATGTTCGTAATTATACCAAGAAGAGACAGATCGAGGCTTATTAAAGGTTCTAACTTTTAATTAGAGCTTATTTGTTACCGGTTCTAACCTTTAGGAAGAGCTATTCCATATCCGACCGAGTTGAGCCAGTTTCCGATCTGCGTAAGATCACAGTCCCTCTCCACCTTGTATTCCACAGTTGTGGATTCAGCAAAGTAGGCGTAATTCCCCTTAAGTACACGTTCCTCTCCCTTACCAGAATTTAGTACAAACACTGAAGGTTTCTGCTTTTTCATAAACGCAAACATTCTCTGATAGACAGGAAAGATGGAATTCTGAAAATATAACAAGAATTCCTTATAAAGGAAATGGTTGGGAAGTGCATTTTTCAGATGTCAAACTTGAAGCCTACGTAAAAACGTAAGCTTATTTACTATGTAAGTGTATAAATGTTCAAAGTAATTGCAGTAAAACAAAGCTCCTCAGTACTTAAAATTTTATGATAAATTTAAAAGAAGGTGTGAGTATTAAACAAAGTACAGTGTAGTCCATCGCATCATCTGTGCGCAAATGGTTACGTTTGCCAGATGCCTCACAAGGAATCAGCTGTGTTCGGCCAATGCCTCGAGATGCATTTTTGTTTCATTTGAGAAATATTTTAAAGGCATATTCCCACTTTCAGCAAACATTGAATTCTATTGCAGAATTATAAATTAATAAAATCTTGTAACCTTAGCCTGTAATAATATTTCCTGCAATTGCAATAAATATCTTATGCCTTAGAATCCTATTTTGGCTCCCATCAGAACCCATGCTTCATGACTTAGTTCTAAAGATGCTTTGATTTCACTTAAACAATATAATCAAAAGCTTTTTTCTTACCCAGATTTTCATTTTGTTTTTAAATTTACACTGCTCTATTTACATGTACTTTATTACGTCCAACCCTAAGGTGTATGATTGAGGAATTTTGAGCAATATGTTAACGTAGTAGATGTGGTACAAAATGGTTGTTATGAACATTTTCCCTGGCTTCCTGCTATTTAAACGTTTTAATTCCAGCGGAGATCATATCATTTAACTACATAAGGATCTTCGCACACTAGTATTGAAATTTTCAACTTTGAAGAAACTCCGCGGCTGCTCAATAAATAGAGCGCACGAACGTGTGCAGGAGATCTTGAATTTCGGTTGAATAATACCTGCATTTTGTAGGACTTTCAAATAATTGATTAAAAGGTAAACTCTATATGTATTATAACCATCAGAATAATACAGTCAATCTGAGTCGCGTGCTGAGAGACAATTCGTGTTATTATACTTTCATGTTAAATACTAAAATCTGATTGGTTAAGACGCATTTAACAATCCGTAATGTTACCTTCAGCGTTAGCAACACACTTGACAACGGGTAACATTACGAAAATGTCACATGCGTTCAAATCATGCGCGTACGGTTCACCGTAGAATTCTCAAGACGTCGGTTGTGCGTTTGAAAGAAGCCGAATTAACGACGTCAATAAAAGCTTGCGTCCGATGTAGCTTACTTGAAAACAACAAACGACAGACGAAACATCCTTGCGAGTGCAAATTTAGATGATAAAGGACTTTTTGAGTAGCAAACAAACAATAAAGAGGTTGGTAAATCTTTTCCGAAGCTTTCTGATTGAGAAAAATGGAAGCGGGGAGTTTGAAAGCTGTCTAAGCGTGAACTTAACGACGATCTCCGAAATTTTTTATGACATCCGAAATCAATAAGACATTCAGTATAATAAAATAAATAGTGCACGTTTTTGAGGGTAACAGTTGAAATTGACACCCCTCGGAAAACCATTGTCAACCTCCGCTGACGCGTCGGTTGACAATGGTTTTCCTTGGGGTGTCAATTTCAACTGTTACCCTCAAAAACGTGCACTATTTATATAATGTCTCACGCGCAGGGTGACAACTGTGTTGTCTCCCTTCAGATGACAATGAAATAGCGCAACTGAGCGTGCAGGATGACAACTATGTTGTCTCCCTTTAGACGAAAATAAAGTGAATCACATTTATAGTTATATAACTGATATAAATGCGGGATCGGTAAACAATAAATTCTAACGGTGACGTAAAAGTTGTCTGTTGACATATTTTGAAAGCAGTGTGTAAGAGAACGCAAGAGGTTTGATCGGTATTTTCTACTCTTTTATTTATAATTTAAATTCTTCAGAATAATAAAACTATTATGGACTGTTTAGAAGGGACTTCAAAGGAGACAACACCAATTATCATGCCTGAGAAGGGTTGTCACCCTCGGGCGCAAGCGCCCTTGGGTGACAACCCTATGCAGACCTGATAATTAGCGATGTCTCCCTTCTGAACAGTCCATAGTTGTATATTAAATACTATTGAGACAAATCATAGGTCTCTCAAAGAGAACAGCAATACGTACAAAGAGAGTCTCGGTTGGCGCTGACACAATACAGTACCTAATGAGATTGCCGTAGAGGATACAGAAAGGGTACGTACAACTAAACAATTTTAGTTAGGTCTAGTGCCAATATTGTAATCCTGTGATAAAGAGAAATGCCTATCCATTTCCCTTAAATGCTATGAAAAAAATTAGTTGAACAAGATGTGTTTGTGAAACACTATGCCCCCGATGGTAACACAATTCTGGAGTGGGGCGTAGACTACAATGCAGTAGTTATGGCCAATGTTAAAGTTTTTCAAATGTAGGTCAAAGGACACAGTTGAGGTCACATGATGAAAAATTTCTGTACCAATGGAAAGGTCTTGTCATAATGAACACTTAGGTCAAATATTAAAGCCTTACACTTGAAAGCGCAATAGTTATGGGCTAGGTTAAAGTTGACAACAGAAAGACAGACAAACAGACAGACAGGACAAAAACAATATTCCCCCGGGATCTTTCGATCCAGGGGCATAAAAATACGATTCCTTTTATTACTTATATTACTCTGTTTAATATGAAAACCTGAAAGAAACTGTAGGTTGATCCAGTTTGTAAGGTGCCGTATTTGATTTCTGTTTGCTTAGAAAGGTCAGCGGCGCTTTCTATTGGTGACTGCATTCTGCCGGCCGTTAGAAAGGCGGCGAGATTAGCGGTGTAGGAGGAAATGATGATCAGCGTAAAGAACCACCATACACCCGCTACCATTCTGGTAGAGACAGTCCGTGGCGCAAGCTCGCAACCTGAAATAAGGAATATGAATTACAGCTTAAGATAAAAATCGGATTATTTAAAACTATTAAAGCAATATCATTAGGTTAGAATTATTTCCGTATCATATGCTGGTCATATTGTGTTAAGAAACTAAATCATTGGAGATTCATGTATCCAACTCAAAGTTACAGAATGGACGGTTGAAAAATACGTTGGGTTTACCTTGCTGCAAGATTGATCCAATTGTGAGCCACATACTATTGAGAACAGAAAACTGGTTCTCCACAATGTCTTCGTCCTGATCACAGGGGTAAGGGTTACACCACTCGTAAGGCGTCAGTCTGGCAATGACGAAAAACATAAAACTCACACACAGATATATGGCAATCATGTACACCCAAACATCCTTGTGGAAGGGATCCAGGAAAGAAAAGAGACGAACAGGTTTCGGTTTTGGTTTCCGGAATAAAATCGTAATACCGAGATTCCAAAAAGGTTTGGTGAAGTCGACATACTGCTCACGGGCCGACGTAATGGTGATGCCCCCAACAATTAAATCAGCTTTCTGTGGGGAAAAAATGAAGAGAAAAAAAAACTTTATGCATAAAATTATCAAAGTGGTTGATCATCAACATAAAACTAGGCAGTTCTTCCTTATATTTATATTTTTACCTGATCCTTGATTCAATAAAAAATGAGATATTACATTAATTTTATTCAAAAGTTAGAAATCTTAGACTACCCAGTGTGTAAGTCACAAATAGCGAGAAGACAGTTCTGTCACGTGATGAGCAAATGGCTTTAATAAGATAAAAAGCAATTTCCTTATCGGACAAAGACAAATGAAAATGTTTATATATGAGCATAGAAAACAATCTTGGAAGCGAGACCACACATGATGAATCTGGCAGATTATCAAAGTCATACCCTGTCAATTAGCTTCTGGTACATCCCAGTGCAATAATCCTCATCCGGGTAACAATTTCCGTAGGAATCTTCCGCTTGTATTTCGTAATTGAATTTCAACTTCTCCGCAATGGCGTTCAGAATATCAATACAGAATCCCTCGTATACAACGTTACCCTGTTCATCTGTCCTCTTCCAGGCATATGGGAGTTCCTTCAATGGACAACCACATGGTCAATAATTGTCAAAATAACCGGGCATAAGATCCAATCTTCTTCCGAGTATGTTAGGCATCTTGATCAAAATGGTAAATAAGTTTTCTTTGAAAATCAGAACCTAAAAGAATTTAACGTACACTCACCAATACAGTCAACACCTTAAGGGTTTTATTAAGCTGAGACAATGGTTCCTCATCGTCAGTAATGTTGATGAACGACATGGAATTCCAAGTGCCAATCTGCAGTAAAAATCTTAGTTAAACCTCGAGTGGGACGACTTTGGTATTATTATGATAAAATTTATATTTCTAGTACTTTACTTTAATAAACAAAATTACAATTGTAAGTGCTATAGAAAGGCTGATTTTTTAACTTCTTGAGGTGTTATCAATACGGGTCCAGTTTGGAAACTGAAGTTCATTTAAATAACATTTCATCTTTATACCATGTGTTTGGCAAAAGGTTAACTTTTTCGGTTGAGTAAAGTTTTAGGACCAAACGGCTCTGACTCTGTTGGGACTAGAATCCATATATACAAGCTTAAACTCTCATAAATAATTATGTCATGCAATTTGCAATATAGACCCCAAATCCGAAAAAACCACTTCCAATTGAATATACATGAAATTACCTTGTGGAGGTTGTTTTTCTGTCGGAGTTTAACGACGTCCAACTCAAAATTGTTCCTCTGTCCATACTCATCAAATTCTATATTCCCTGTGAGCCCTTTCGTCTGTACCTATAATATCATAGAGGTGTTATATGTAGCCACAATAACAGAGAAAAACAAATAAGGTACAATGTATCTATGTTAAATGGTGGGGGGGGGGGGGGGGGCGGGGCGGTAATAGAGATGATACAGATGGGTGTTATAGAGAGATGATAAAGTGATGCAGAATTGACCAAAATATGGTATACAGAAAGACGACACAGAGAGGTAACACAGATGTGATACGGGAAGAAGATACATAAAGTTGGTACAGAGATTTAATGTAGAAAGATTATTAAGGCATGTGGTATAGAAATGATACTTGGAGATGATACAGATAAATGATTCTGACAGATGACACGGAGAGGTGATTCAGAAATGATACAGACAGGTTATTCAGAGATAATATAGGAAGGTGATTTAGAGATGATACAGAGAAGTGTTACAGATCTACAGATGATACAAAGAGTTGATTCAGAGATGATACATCGATGATATTAAGAGATAATAGAGATGGTACGTAGAGGTGATACAGAGAAGCGTTACAGAGAGGTTATACAGAAACAACGATGATACAGAAAGGTGAGATTGATAGATGATACAGAGAGTTTTATAGACAGAGAGATGATTCAGAAAGGTAATGATGATGAAAAGGAGATGATACAGAGATGTGATATACACATAGAGATGATACAGAGATGTGATAAAGAGAGAATACAGAGAGGTGATATAGAGAGATGATATAGGAAGTTTATATATGCAGAGTGCTTATGTAGAGAGGTGATAAAGAGAGGGGGTACATCGATGATACAGAGAGGGGGTACATCGATGATACAGAAAGGTGATACATCGATGATACAGAGTGGTGATCAAGAGAGGTGATTTGGTTTGTTTGTTTGAATGTTGTTAAACGTCCCTCTCGAGAATTTTTCGCTCATATGGAGACGCCTACACTTGCCGGTGGAGAGCTGCAAATTTTGTCCTATACTCGGCACTTACGGCCATTGAGCAGTGAGGGATCTTTTTCGTGCCAGCACCTACTGCGACACGGGACCTCGGTTTATACGGTCTCATCCGAAGGACCGTCTCCACGTCTAACAATGGGATTCGAACCCGCGACGTAAGGATCAACTCCTTACTTCGCGACTCTAGAGCAGACGCTCTAACCACTGCGCCACGCGGGCATAGAGTAGTAATTAAAAATGATACTGGGAGATAGTAAAAAAGGTGATACATAGAGGCCATAGAGAAGTGATTCAGAGAGGTGATATATAGACATGCTACATGAGTGGTCATACATAAAGGTGCTACATAGAGATATACATGTACATACTGATAGATGTTAGAGAAAGATGATACAAAGAATTGATACAGAGAGATGGTACAGAGAGTTGATATGTAAAGAACATACAAAGAGGTGACACAAGGCGTACATAATTACAGATACTTTATACTTTTTTAAATTAACTGATCGATAAAAACTAAATGAAAAGGTTATAATGAAGACTGTGTTTTATGTAGGTGCCCGAGAGTGCCATTCAACAAGCTCTTGATTTTAAACACTAAAAAACTTATGTTCTGATTCTGCCATTGAATATTTGTCTTAGAAATTGTCACCTACACTTTTCATGAAATCCAGTAATTCTTTCCCATAATTCCAGGGTGTTGACGTGTCACATGATACCCTGTCAAATGACGTCAGAGCACTTGGGTTCTGTTCGTTTAAAGCGTTTACTGCATGAAAAAACACCCACACAGCATCATGCATGAGGGCAGTCTCTGTCTGTAACAGAAGATAATATTTTTAAATATGGTCCCAAAATAAATTCTATTACAATTATTAGTAAAGAATGCTATTAATTTTCTTTTACTGATACATGTATAAGAAAATCCTCAAAAGAAGACATTGTATATTTTGATTGAATGGTATACTGCATCATCATCATGGTATCTTTTTTCAATGAACACATAATGCCAGTCTATTTTGAATAAAATGCTTGATTTCTCAATTCTAACATACAACAGACTAATCAAAATAACTATAAAGGTTATATAAAACAGTAACTAGTATAACGTTTCACTTATTAAGCCTTCTGCTTGAAAATCAGGAAATATATAGATAAGTGGGCGTTTCCGTCCTTCCGTACATTTTTCTATACGTCTTTCCGTACGTCCGTAACACTAAATGGGGTACCCATCTCTTATCTGCATCTCCTCCTATACATGTACCATTGGATAAAATTTAATGAGACTTTCAAAGAATCTTTATTGCATAATGGCACTGTGGATCTCCAATTTTATTTTTTTTTTTATCAGGCAGATAAAGAGGGTTTCCCATAGCAAAACACAGACACTGCCACTCTTTCTATATCAAGGGGGGGGGGGAGGGGTTTACCCATCTCTTATCCACAACTCCTCCGTAACCACTGAATAGAATTAAATAAGACTTCACAGAATATTCATTACATGGAGCCACTGTGACCCTTTTACTTTATTTTTCGATCGTTCAGATATACATGTATGAGGTTTCCAATAGCAAAACATCGGTGGACTTTACAAAATATACTGCTAAAGACCACCCTGTTTATAATTGCATGATACGAATATAGTCAGACAAAGAGGTTCTTTATTTTATTCTGCATTAACAACCTCTCACTGATTGGAGATCCACATCTTTGTGAATACTTACTGGGATCTGCAGCTGGCCTTTTCGTAGCGGGGATTTGTTTCCCCGGATGTTGAATTGCAACTGTTTCCATTCCTCTGTGACGTTCTTGACCAGAGATTGTTCTGGGTTAACCATCCTCAGGGCCGTAATGTTGGCCCCGGATGCAGCGAAGTCTGAGATGTCGGTGACTCCCAAGTCCTGAAATTTAAGGAATATCCCTTACGGACAAAGGTGACTGATGCTGATCGCAATCAAGCACACTAATTCATAATTCAGTAATTCATAAACAAAACTTACCAGTGTCATAAAATGATAGTGGAAATATTCCGACAGAGCCTCGGTTTCAGCAGCCTGTAAAGTAGAGTAAATTTTGCGATCTAACTGTGGATTTCCTTTCATTCTTCGGTTTTGTCGCTTTGTTGTTGTCTTTGTTATGTCCACAAATGTATCAGGAAGGGAGAAAATACAACATGCCTGATCCATAGCATAAATTAAATACTAGTACGTGATCCCAGAGGTAATCAACTTAAGGAAATTAAACTTTGCTATAGTTAACTATAGGGAATTTTTGTTGGCTCTGGTCTGGTCCGTCGCTTGTTGTTTTCATACTTCTTATTATCAACTTCAAATTTCAGTCATTTTATTACTATAAATTCATACAAACCTGTTGCAGGACATTGTATACTCTCTCATAATGACAGTCGACAACAATCTGTTGATATTCCGCCTTCTTCAGCTCCTCTAAGACGTCCTTCAGACTCCCTCTATTTACAAAGTCGATTTTCCTTGTTGCAATGACAACACGTCCTTTGGCTGACAGCTTCAAAATGTCTTGAAGTCGGATAAGGCCTAACATTTAGGAAGGTGAAATTGAAAGGAAATATTAATTTCAGTTTACAAATTCAAATTTTCAGTCTTTTTTGCTCAAAAAATCCCATTTTACATATACACTGTACATGTAGATTTAATATAGTAGTATTCTTTTTCCAAAATAGGTCATACAAAATGGAGATTGTAACCAAAAGGACTTCTTGGTTCAGGGGAGTTACCAGGATATATATATTCCCTAGTGATCTCTAAAATATTCCTTTTAACTTCAGAAATAACATACCGTCATTATCTTCGTAAAGAACAGCAAATTTGTGCCACTTCCAGAATCTGATCAGATCTCTGTGGGCGGCGCTGAGTGTGTGGTGGTAGGGATAAAGGTTCAAGGTCATGTGGTTCCTATCAGGTCGTTTGGTGTCCGTCACAATCTTGTTCGGATTCCAGTGTATCTGAATGTTAGGTATTGAAAGTTGACTACATAGTGACGTCACATATTCCGAAGACGTTCGAGAGTTCGTGCCGAATATCACTTTACTGCCGAAGGAGATCACTCTACAAACTGAATTAATTTAAAGTATTTATCACAAAACATATTTCAAGCTGGATTATTGCAAAGGTGCTTAATAATCTGAGTATACTAAAAGTTGCAGAGAAGCTCTAAACACTTACAATGTGTATTAAAAATGTTTTTGGGCATTGAGCAAATTATATAAATATCATATAAAGGTGTACATATTGAGTTTATGTAGTTAATTTGCAACATAGGGTTCCAGCCTTTTTCCTCCAGGAAAATTGTTTAAAGACAATGGATTTTAAGAACAGAGAAATCACTGTTGTTTGCTTAAATGGGAAACTTTATCTTGCTCTATACAATGTTAAGAATACTTAGATCGATTTCAAATTGTGTCCTATAACACAGTAAAATTATGTATTATTTGTTCAACATCTAAGAAGAGACCACTCTATCTGCAAAAATTTTTTTCACTGTTTTAGAACTCTAGTTTACAGTGTTTAGAGCCTCTTTAAACCACATGTATATGAAAAGTAAAGCCGCTTTACGTTCCGTGGAAACTTCAAAACTGTCTTCCGAATTTACTCTGTAGAAGAAGTCTTCTATTTTAAGATTTTTGTTTCTGTAGACTGCACGTTGTTGGGCCTTATCCATGGTTTCCTTGAAGGCGAGTTCTAAAGCCGCATCCTCATAGCCAACAAGAGCATCTGGAATGAATTGTATTAATATTAACTTATCTTATATGTCCCAGTATACGTACACTGCTACAACCGTAAATACTCAGTAAGGCTATAAAGAACATTGATATGACATGACAGTTTGAAGTCTTAAATATTTATGAAAAAAATTCTATTCAATCTTAAGATTAAAAGAATGTGGCTCCCATCAGGGATAAAACTCTTACAGTGAAAAATGATGTACTTACTTAAAAAATCCCTTGTTTTTGTAACAACGTTTAATCATGGACTCCGAAAAATAAAACGGAAATTATTGAAATTCTGGTGCATCTTTATATATATATAGAATTCATGAAGTGAAGGAAAGCTGTGCCCCCCCCCTCTCCCCCCTTTCCCGCCTTTGGAATATTTTTTTTGAGTGGACCACCCCTCCCCTGGAAAAAAAAATTCTGGATCCACGCATTAAGGGTGTATTCTTTATGTATATACCTGTATACAGACCTAAAAAAAAATGACATGACAGCATTCAGTGGTATAAATTTAATTTCTTGAGTGGGAGTAAATACAGAGGATATACGCCATTTCTGATTGCTTACTTGGTAAATAAAAAAAAATCGGAACATTTCAAACTGTACGGAAGCTACCAGTATAGCTTTCAGAGTTATGCTGGCATTTTACTTTTCAATAGTAAGTATATCTCTTTTACAATTTTTTTTTAAGTATGCTGACGACTTAGTACTATATTAATGCAGCAGCGGGAAAAATAATACACTTTTTGAATAATCATTAAAACTCACTTACTATTATATCTGTATAATCTAGTGTTCACTTTGAACTAACCCTCCCCCCCACCCCCGGCCCCAGTTCAGAAATCGCTACTATATACTTCCCTGTAAAGTATATGTGGATTTACATGTCCTTATTTAAATAATATGCATTCACCTCTGTGTGTGGGCACTTGTTTCATGACAGTTCAAGGCTTAAACAAAATTCTTCCTATACTACTTATGTTTATCGGCCTATTTAAAAAATACCCCAGGGATTTCGTTCGTACTAAAATCCATGTAGTAAACAGGTAACGTGTTTATACATTTAGACTTAAGACTTCCACATTGTTCTTTTTTTTTATATCTTTCCCGATACTTTTCCTCTTCATTCGACAAATGTTTAGTTCTTCCTTATCAGCCTATTCCAAGACTGAAGCGATTTGTGTCCTAACAAGTTACCGTATACAAGGTCATAAATTAAAACAAGCACAATAATTATTTTCTATTCGTAAGACGATTTACCTCTCTTTAACCGAATAGCTTCATTGACTGAGAACCGTTTAATTAAAAAATTTTGGCAAAAACATTTATATTTTTAATACATGGGGTACGATGAACATTAAAGTTTTAAACGCTTGTTAAGAACAATCGTACTCAGTTATGAAAAATTGTATTGGAAAAAAACTGTTTCCTCGGTAAATAATATGCTATAGGTAACTTAAGGTCATACGCAACGTACATGTACAAGTATTTTACAATGTACCTCTCCTACTGATAATTTTTCGAGGTATTCTTGATTTACAATCATAGTACCATGATATGTTCTTACACAAAACATCAGCAAACATTTTCAGAAGTTTTGAACAGATATCAAATGATTAAAATCCTTGTATTTTTTTTAAAGAAAAAATTAACAAAAATATACTTTTAGCTGGTATTTCCTCAACGTTTGGTTCAGAAAAGGTGTACAACTTTACTAGACATCATAAAATTGCACAAAGGTCCTTCAATTATTGGAACTCTTCAACAGACATTAAGAAAATAAAGTTCAAATTTTTTATGAGTTCAAAAACACTAGCTCTTTTCATAACCATTCTTAATCGCTGTATTCCACGTAGAATACCGGTATGTCAATAAACCGAGGACGACTCTCGTGAGAGAGCTCGAGTATATGCATTATAAAACTTTCCTTAAAAAGACACTTCCTTGTTTCTGCTCTCAACATCGTCGGGGGGGGGGGGGGATCCAAACATTACACATTTCTTGAGTCAGAAATGTCTCTTGGTCAATAATATCCACAATGAAATAAAAATTGTGGAAACTTTTACGGAGATCTAACGAAAAGTCGGACATATTTCGGATACTCTGTTTGTATTCCTTCGCCACTAAGCAGGTTGTGCTTATTTGACTTACCTGCCCTTATTATTCTCTCCTGGCAGTCGACTCTAACCAACAGGGATGAACATATTACCATCAAAACGATTCTCCCTGTCCACTGCATGATTATACGTCTGTATTTTTCTTCAAACATCACATCATGGCATTTCAATTTCAACCCAGTTTCACATTAGTAAGACTTGTGTCCATGATAAACCTATAAACAAAGAAATATCTTCACCATGTTCACAAAGTTTTCCTGATAACGAAGTAAATGAGTCTGGCAATGGTTGTTGGTACACCAGTGTATGCGCGTGTGTTATTAACAGCAGATGCTCACATCAGAGAGGTGTGTTAAATATAGATGTAGGTATATTACAAAGATATAACATTCACAGTTGTTATTTAGCACTTGTCTTCGTAGCTTTTCTGTAATTTTCTCTATACATTTCATTTGTTATTGTAAAAAAGGGACGGACCAAGGATTTCCACCGGGGATGGGGTTAATAATATAGTAAAAATGAAAATTATAACGCAATATAAAAAAAAATGTATCGCTTTTGATGGGTTGTAATGCTAGATGGTTCAAAATTCATTACTTTTGTTTTTTTTATTCTTTATATATGAATAACACAAACTTAGAGCCCCGGGGATACCCCCATCCGAAATCCGCCACTACAAGAAAAAATAAAATATCCTTTAAAAATTATTTAAAATTACAAGTTTCAACCAAGCTTTCATTTCAATGCTTTTTTTTTTTAATTTAATACTCTTGCATTCATTTATTTACGGTTATGACCAACACCAATATTTTAACAGCTAATGATACGAACAAAGTAGTAAACTCTTTGTATAAGCTACCATATCAAATATATAACTGGCTATCATGTAGACACTTGAAAGGGGACCAGGATTTACTAAAGTCGATCCTCTCAGTTTTCGTTTAATCCGTTCTTAATCCTTTACTTGCCGTTTTAAATATAGCGTCGTGTTTTGGAAATTCTTCGTATTATAAAAAATTCAAAATCATTTTTTTTTTTGGTCATATAATTTCATTACACATAAATATGGTTCCTCTATGATGCATTATGCTTAAATATAAAGTTAACAATGTAATGTAATAATCAATGATCTTACCTCCCTTTGTACTACTCTATATATTCATTCCGTATCTGGCAAACGATTCTGGTTCGATTTTTATTTAATTATATGAAAATTAATTTGTACAACTGTCATTTCGAGAAGAAGCATAATTTTATCTGTAAGTGCATTCTTGTTGCCCTGTCAACATATAATTAGGCTGTTATTTTTCTTGAGACACAAGATAATTTAAAAGAAAGCGGTCAAGTTTATTCACCATGGCTCTATACTGATATTTTTTTTTATCTCCATTGACTCCAAATGGGTATAGAGTTTATTTAAAGCATACTTACCAGCTTCCAGCTCGGTACGTGTTCCCGCCCTCACCAATTTTCTTTATTAGGTATTTCGACTTTTTTTGTTTACTTCTTTGGCAAGACGTGTGTATTTTCTGTCCAGGTCGATAGCCTGACAGCTGTTGTTGATGAATACAGTACGACAGTTGTTACAAAATGGTTGTCGTCGGACTGTCAATGTGTTTTTAATGAGATCAATAGCGGTCCTTTAATTGATGTATAATTAGTTTAGATACCCATTTTTACAAAAAGACCAACTAAAACAAAGTGAATATTTAAAATAATACTTTATTTGTGCATTTCATGAAACATGTAAGGCATTTATACACTATACAACTCATTTAGGAATTTACAATCTGAATAACTGTGGTGCAATATAAGAACGTACAAATAAAATATATAGATGTTGACATGTGGTAAGTATAGTACATGTAGCTGCATATCATGAGCTAGATGGTGTGGTTTGAAAAAAAAGAAATGAAAAGGACAACCAGAGAGCTACAGATTCACTCACTGAAAAAAAGAGTATATCTATTTATTGCGCACAAAAAGTGCGCACGTTTCTCAATTTATTTCTCTGCCATCTCAAAATACATACATGTTTTACTAACCGTGTATTCCAAACATTTTCTTTTACTATTGCTACAACAAGACACTCTCCTAAACCATTTTAATATAGCCCTTCTCAGGCCTGGAACTAAAATTCAGACCATCGAATATAATACTGTCATTTTGGGTAGCATGACAATTCGGTCCAAGAATTCTAACATATGAATCCTATGTGAGGCCTAATACCCCCCCCCCCCCCCTCCCGATTTTTATACACGTAAATACTAGTAGTTCGGTACCAAATGTTCATATTTACCTGATTTATGACGTATTTAATCATTTCAGATCGTACTGACAGAACTTCTGCAGCGCAAAGCGTGTACAACTCGCTCTGTTATTTCAGGACTCGTAATACGTTTTTGACATAACTATTACTTAGCTGCAGTCGAAGGACTTACCAAGGTACTACTTAAGTAAGGTTTATGCCTTTATAACATAAAACGAACTAAGCGAAGTCTTGGCTAAGTCAAACTTATGTTCACAATATTTCTTACGATTTCTTTTATTTTCAGTATATTTACATGTATGAATGAAAAATTATGTATTAGATTTGTATTATTTTTAAAAATAGATATACTTATTTTAAAAATGATTTTTAGCATGCATGCGCAACTTTTCATTGGTATTACTCGATCATATCCTCATTATATTATATAAATGTAAAATGCCTAATTTTTGTATAATATATATTTTTCATATTCTGTTAATTGTATTAATCCGATGAGGCATTTGGCTTAAAGAATAAATGACTGAAAACTAAAATTAAATTCTGTTATGATTTTTAATATATTATTTTTTTTAAGTCGATCTCATTTTTTCTTATGCGGATTCTTGTATAGAATAGTTTTTGTATTGAAACTATAATTATGTTTAAATTAAGAAAAATAATCTTAATGTCTGAAAAAAAAAACAAACAAATAGAGCACAGACACAAAGTGACAATGGTTCAATGTGAATGTATGACTTTTGTTTATTATTGGAAGCAATTGAACACTTCAATGTTTCTAAAATACTTATTATTGTCACTTCTGTTCTGACAAACGTTCACTAGCTTTGTCATTGTCACATAGTAAATATTGTGGTGTCAAATCTTAGAAATTACTTTATAGATCATTCTAGTTTATGTGTTAAATATTAGTTTTATTATTATGTGACCTTGGACATGTATTATGTCTCAATTACTATTTGTTATTATTTGCTACTTCGATTTAATATGCTTGTGATTAGAATGCCCTGAGGAAGAATAGTGTACCACACTAATCAGGATTACCTATATTTTAAATATATTATTATTATTATTATTATTATTATTAAGTATGATTATAATTATTTTAAATAAAAACCAACTTAATAAAATCCAAAAATAACCTGAAAATTATATTACAATCCTCATCTCATCAAACCCCTCTCGAAGTTATTTGTTCTCGAAGTTATTATGTGTTCACACAGTTATTATGTGACGCAATTCATGAGAAAAAAATCATATTTGAAAATGAAATGATTTGATATGCATGCATAGTGATATATGTATATATACAAAAATTGATAGGAGCGCGAGAAAGTTAACGCCTTAATTTGCACTGACATTGGTCAAGACAAATATGCTTTTTCTGTCTCATTTATTCAGTAATACATTTAGCTAAAAAAATCTTTAGATTTGACCCAGTTTGCGCATGTTTCAACTTTATATTACTTAGAACTCTTGATGGGGGGGGGGGGGGCGTTACAAGTTTATTCTCTCTATCTTTTCCTGATTTGGGCGCTATCTACTGACAAAAATCACCCTTTACATAGGCCTAAATGGGTTTTCCACAATCTTTGAGTATAATCACAATTTCAAATTTTATTTTTAAACAGATGTTGCATGTTTATTTAATTAGTGTTTGTTTTGTCTTGATTAGGAATCGGAAGTGCCTCTGTAAGTTTCTGTTTGACTCTGTATTTCCGGCTGGTAACTTTAAAAACACGTTTAAACCGGTTTAAAGCTCCCAAAAAAGAAAACCGTTTCTTGTGGAATGCAAGTTTTCCTTCAAAGACGACTGCAATAATATTTTCAATTTCATTGTTAGAGAACAGACACCATGCGTGGTTCATCCCCATAAGCACTTCATTTATGTCGTCACCATCTTTCGGCATTGACAAGACCGCCAATACTGAGCGGCTTTTCTTAATATTCTCATACAGTTGGACGTCCCGTACATCGCCGATCTCTTCGTGAATTGGTGGAACAAAACACTTGTACCCATTGTGTTGAAGATACCGAAAAACGTCAAGTACATACTTGATAATATCTGAATTTGTGTCGTCAAAAAGAACATAAACATCATAGCAAAAATTTGTGTTCTTGTTTTTTGTAAAACGACTTTTGATTATGATGGCATCAAATCTGAAGACTTTGGCTATAACCATGGCCATCAAAGCTGTAGCGGGAAGAAGAAACAAAGCGAAAAATGTTTTGTCGAATTCGTTTTCTATACAACTGTCAAACGCTACCTCAGCACGAAGAATACCATTCGAATCTGTTCGACACAGTAGAGGATTTGAACTATTGACCTGTGACCCTAATCTCCAGGCCTTTATCCATTTTTCCTGACAGCTGCAGGGCACACTGTTTCGTCCAAACCAGACCTTACTTGCATCGATATCTGCAAATCCTCGTGTGAGTTTTGGTAGACTGTGGTCCGTGAGGTATAGATTTTCCAGACTTTTTAGCCTGGAGGGAACTTTGTCAGATATCTCTGTGACTTGATTCCCGGATAAGTCTAAGACAGTGATGTTTTTGAGATAGTTGACGGGCTCTACTTCTTTAATCGCGTTGTTGCTGCAGTTCAGTTCTATGTTGTAAATAGTTTCAGGAAGATATGATGGAAGACTTGTGAGATTTTGATTCGAACAGTCCACAATCATCCGATATCGACTAGGTTGTTCTATACAAGAACAGGAAGACGGACAAAATTTTTGTTTATGGCAAACGAACATGTCTAATAACGACGAGTCATTAAATACATTCAAAACATTGAACTTCTTCAGATGCTCCGGGGACGAACACGTATATAAATCGTCATCTAAATGATAAAATCTTTTAAATACCGCCATATCTCCACCCAGCAGCGCTCCTAAATTACAATCACAAGGGATGACTAGCTTCTTAAAGGTAAACCTGCCATTGAAGTCATACTTGTATATATTTCGAAGCGACGAAATGCTAGATCCAAATATTAACTGTACAGGGTGATGGTTAATGGTAGAATCAGCAAGTACAACTTCTCCACCACCATATTTGACCCCTGTTTGCAAAGTTTTTTCTTCTTTTATCACAAATGTTATATTGCAATCAACCATAGTGATGTTACAAAACGCCCTACGCTCAAAGTAAACATTAGATACATCATAAGATAAGAAAGTATTGTTTGATAAATCTGTGACAAAAATTTCTGTGCCCGCCGAATTGAATGTGTTTGGTCCAACAGTTTTTATGTTCGTATTGGTCAGAAAAAGAATACGTAAGTTAGGCATACCAGAAAATGTTTCATTGGATATGGCTGAAATCGAATTTTCACTTAAATCCAAAAAGTCAAGAAAATTCGTGCAATTAATTCCTTCAATACTTTGTATTCTGTTTCCTTTCAGCTTAAGAGTAACCAGGGTGTTGTTAAATTCACACAGATTGTCTGGTAACCTGCTCAGTCTTTCATATTCATGAATCACCCAATGGAAAGAAGAAGACGAGTCATTTCCAACAATATTTGATCTTCCAAACGAATTCACGTACTCAACAAACAAAGGGAAATAAGTAAGATTGGAATCGAGGTGCCAGATCGGTTTTCCCTCACAGGCGCAGCATCGGTCATAGAAGTGCGTGTCTCGGAGGAAACAAAAATCCGGACAGAGGACGTTTGGCTTTTCCGACCCGTTTTCCGACTTCCAGCTGTGAAAACCCGTCACGTTTGCTCCAGAAACAAATGAAACAATCTGAAGAACGAGAGTTACTTTTAAAATATCCATTGTATAAAATGATTGCAACACAAGCTTATGTCCTTCCCTCTGAACCTTTCATCCCTTGTCAGAAATGTAAAATGGAAAGTCCTATCAGAAGATTTTATGTGTGAAAGACTTCCGTCAACTTCCTCTTTAAAGTGTTTAATTTAAAAGAAAACTATTGTTGAAATGTTTTCATATTTACGTTTAGAGTATACTGTTCTATTAACCCGATCATGACCGGAGCCAGGTATAGATATCGCGTGAGCCAATCATTTTCGGCTTTTTTTAAAATGCATTAAATCGATTATAATGTTAAAGGTTGGTGGTTTTATTACATTTCAATACAATAGACACTTCGTCACTTACAGTTATTTCTTACTCAAAATGCTTGGTTAGTTTGCGTTGTAATGAATTTATGTCAATGTAAATGATATAAATTAATGAATTTTTGTCAATGTAAATACCCGTGGCAGAAAGCGTGTTATTCTTAATTATCTTTCAGTAATTACACGAAAGGGTCTTTTGTATTAAAAAAAACTTTTTTTGGAAAGCCACCAGTCTAATAATTGGCGAAAATTTCAACCTTGAGAAAATTAACAAAGATGGAACTTCTCTTTAGAACTAGTTACATCTGGATAGAGTTGTCACTCCAAACTATTCAAAGTATATGTAATTCAGCTAGATATATGTATATAAAATAAATCCCTGCGAACAGCTAAGTTTATTACACTCATGCAAGGTTCAGTGTATATGGAGATCTCACAGTTAATTCATTCTTAAGCGTGCTTGAAATGTCAAAATTATTCCACATACATGTACATGTATTACCCCTTAACTTTTTCAGTGTTCATTTTGCTTTGTAATGTTGTAAATATTGTGTCATCAATGTCATCAATATGTCTACAGCATATCAAAGTATTCGAAATAGAGGTAAGTTAACCAATTTTCCTCAGAAGAATTATTCTTCTAATAGGCAGGTCTTAATTTTTGTAATAAAGTACTTTAAAAGGTTCATGAACTATATAATAACATACAAATAACCTGACCATTTCTTCCTTTTTCTAATCCTTACCAATGTGTTGATAGTTTTGTTTTATTCAAATAGGCATATTGTATCATGTTCTGAAGGAAATGCTCAATTTAATGGCTTTGTCAACAATTTTTAGACCCATGCCGTTTTGTAAACCCATGTCATGCATAATTATGTGGTTTAAATTAAGAGAGTTTGTAGAAATATTAGGACATTAGTATTATGGTTTTTAGGTCACCTGAGCTCCAGTGAAATTTTCTGATTGAAGGGTGTTCTGACGTCCGTCTGTCGTCTGTAAATTTTTCACATTTTCCACTTCTTTTTAAGAACCACCTATTTGAACTAAACTTGTCAAAATAGCATTCTTGAGTGACATGGGTTCAATTTTGTTCAATTGAAGGGACACGTCCTCATTCAAGTAGGGATTTAAAAAAAAATACTGAAAAAATTAATGAGATCCTTGAAGATATCTTCTTTTCAAGAACTAATGCCAGAAGAGATGAAACGTTTGTGAAAGCTTTATTACATACTATAGATTCAAGTTTGTTCATATCATCAACAAGTGGCTAGGGCGGGACCACTATGGGCGATCAAAGTTTTACCTAGGAATATATGGGGAAAATCTTTAAAATTCTTCTGAAAGAACAAGCCCTTGATTAGTCATGTTTAAATTGAAGCATCCTCAGGTAGTATAGATTTAATTTTGTTTAATGACCCTGGGGTAGGATGGGGCCTCAATGGGCGGTCAAATATTTTCTTCGGAAAATATAAGATCTTTGAAATTCTACTTCTCAAGAACAGCAAAGCCAAGATTAGTCATATTTATATTGAAGCATCCCGTGGTAGTGTAGATTCAACTTTGTTCAAATCATGATCCATAAGGATAGAATTCACGAGACCAAAATGGTGGATCAAGTTTTTATTAAGGAGTATATATATTTAAAAATCTTTTTTATAAGAATAGCAAAGTCATTTTTGCATATTTATGTGACCGGAAACATCCTTAAGTAGTATTCAAATTATAATCCCCGGGATAGGGTGGGGCCACAGTGGATGATCAAGTGATGTGCATGTTTGAAAAATAATCTAAAATTCTTCTCAAGAACAGCAAAACCATGATTAGTCATTTTTAGCTCACATGAGCCGAAGGCTCAAGTGAACTTTTCTAATTAAAAAAGTGCTCGATGTCTGTCTGTGTGTCATGTGTTTTCTGTAAATTTTTCAATACCTTCTCCAGAAACACCGAGTTAACCAAACTTACCACAATGCATCCTTTGGTGAAGAGAATTTTTAAGTTTGTTCACATGAAGGGTCACGTCCTCTTTCTAGGGCAGATACTTTAAGAATTAGTAAAAATTTGATATCACCTTTTAAGAATCTTTTCAAGAACCACTGTGCCAGAAAAGACGAAATTTACGTGAGTTTTATTACATATTGTAAATCTAAGTTTGTTCAGTTCATGAACACCCGAAGGTAGGATGGGACCACAACAGGGGATCAAAGTTTTACATGAAATATGAAGATAACGAACAGTATACAATCTCGAAAGTCCAATTAAACGATACAAATTTGGAGCAGAGCAAACACGGACCTCAAAATTTAGAGGTGGGATCAGGTGCCTTGGATGAGTGAGCTTCCCCTGCCGACCGGTCACACCCACCGAGTGCTCCTTGTCATGATCGGGAAAAAAAACGAAAAATCCGTAGACAGTTCAGTGTTTAAATACTGGCCTAACAATTAGTATAAAAACGTCAGTGAGCATTTGACTCAATGATAGTTTGTATGTGCTGACAAGGTCATTGTATCGACCGTTAAACTTGCGAAAAGATGACTTCAAACGAGACTGTTGATATCCTTGTTTCATCAATTGGTTTGTCAATAGCTTGCCTCGTTTTAGAAATTGTTCATACGTAGAGCATGCTCTTGCGTATCGAATCAATTGAGAGACATAAACCCCATATTCAGGTGATAAGGGTATATTGCTACATAAGTAAGGGAAGTTGATGATTGAAAAGCCAAAGTCATCACGTTTGTCATAAAGCTATGTTGTTAGGTTACCATTAACGTCTTTTTCTAAATATCAAATAGATGTGTCAGAATCTGTGGTATCTTTTATTTCAAGCTTACTGGGATATATCGAGTCGACATATGAATGAAAGTAACTATTGTTAATTGATAATACGTCGTCGATACATCAATATGTCGAGTTGAAGGCCACGGCAAGTGTTTTATTTCTTCTCGTGTAGAAGTTTTTAAATAAATTCTGCTTCATATGAATACAAAAATAGGTCTGCTAATAAGGGGGCGCAATTGGTATCCATAGGAATTCAAACAGGTTGTTGGAAGACCTGATCTCCAGAAACTACATAGATATTGTCAATCAGAAACTCAAACATCTTTTTAATATCAACTTCAGATTACTTGAGTGTACAATCAGAGTGTTTTTTAACAACATAATTTTGTAAATGACCAATGACAAGGTAAGTATATTTACGAGTTCCATTTTTATTGAAAATACAGCTGTCTATGATGTCAAAAATCCTGGACTTCAATTTATCGTGGGGAATGGTTGTATAAAGTTTTGAAAAGTCGTACGTTTTGATGCTATTGATTTTAGTAAAATTTTGGGATTTCAAATTTTCCAAAAGTTCTTTGGAGTTTTAAGTATCCACATCTGATTTACACCACTTCTCGAATATACTGTTGTACAGTACTCCTGAAGTTTCTCCTTCATTACAGTGCATATTTTAGTGAGAAGTAAAGAAAGAGGTTTGATAGAACATTTACTGGAACCCTCTATGTATCTTTGTTAGGATTTTTATGAAGTTTAGGAATCCAGTAAAGGTATGGTAATTCAAATTCATTTTGATTGTTGGGAATATTAAAAATATCTACATAAGAATATATAGGGGAAATCTTCTTCTCAAGAACAAATCCATGATTAGTCATATTAATACAAAAGATCCCCAGGTAGTGTAGATTCAAGTTTGTATAAATCATGACCCCTGGGAGAAGGGCAGGGATCGAGATCAAACTTTTACATAGGAATATAAAGAAAAACAGTCTTTTAAAATCTTTTAAAGCCATGATAAGTCAAAGCAATATTGAAGCATCCTCAGTTAGAGTAGATTCATGTTTGTTCAAGTTATGGCATCCATAGAGGGTAGGCTTGGATGATTATACGAGTCCTGTTAGAAAAGTTCTATTGTGAGCGCACTATCTGCATGAAACCAGTAAAACTCTGCAGATAAAAACTATACTTATTTTCAAATAAATATGCAAAGATTTGTTGTTTTCCGATGATTCTTAAAAAATAAACAGCTATATTTTTCAGATAAAATATGCTTCACGGAGCATGTCACTATTTCACACGTTTACATAACATAGACGGGTTTTTTTTCAAATTAAAAATTGCACTGTTGTAGCGCGCAAAGATTTATGATATGTCACCAGTCGCTATAATATTTATGAAACGTCATTTGGTGAGATTTTGAATCGAACTGGAGAAGATTTGACTGATTCATTGCTAATTATAGATGAACAATGCGTAAAAACAAAGTCAAAAATGGCAAAAGAGACTAAAATGGTTTTAGATCTGCCGAGGATTGCCTACACGTACCTAGCACCAAAGTATTCAAAAGGAAGTTTATTTGTAAGAATGGAAGCATTGACATTTTCGATTATCAACACCTGTGATACCCCAAAACCCCATGACCACATATCGCACGGACATTGCGCCTATGGATTTTTGCATTGTTTCCATACCTGATCGCTTAATTGCATAGACATTAATTTTAGGATCTCATTAATATCCGATACGCAACAAAAAATGTCTTGATATAGTTATTTAATTTTTATGTGGGAAAAAGACATGCAATGAAAGATAAACTGTGATAAAAGAGTAACAGGATTGATATGACGTTGTTCTAACTTCGAAAAACGTCAAGTTATTGCTCCGTGAATCCTATGACCGCACAGCAAAAATCAATGTATATTTTCAAAATGCTAGTAAATGGACCTGATTTTTTATATACTAATAAACAAAAGAAAAGATTTTCATCAGACACACGTCATTCTTCAAAGTACACAATAAAATTTTCCGTAAATCAATGTGTCCGCGAACTTTTCTAACAACTATCGTATATATTAACTTTTCAACAATGAACTGATTTCAGTTTTTCTCTCGCCAAAGTGCACAGATGAACGATATGGCTCATGGGACTCTTGTTTATTATTTTAAAAAATGAATGTCTCTTTTATGTCAATTCTTTATGTCTCTGATGTATAAATGGGGATTCCTATATTTGAATCTGTTCCTCCGTCTACCTGGAAGCCATATTTTGAAATAAAAAGAACAGAATCCTTATAGCAACTTCATTATGATAAGTTCATCAGATATAAAAATATATTTTTCAGGTTTGTCATTGTAAATCATATCGCTTATCTGTTATCAGCATTTGAGTCTATGCGAAAAAATTTAACGCTACACATCTTGAATAGCTCGCTTAATATTCTTGAGGAGTTGTTTATGAACCTAATACTGTTATCAATACATTAAAAAAGAAATAATATGGGATCTTATTGAACTTGAGACAAAACTAGTTTGATTATAGTTTCAAGCTTTGCTAATTGCGTAACTTCCAGATACCTATTTCGAAATGTTCTAAATGATTTCCAGTGAAATTTGAAGGCAAGAAAAAAAATTGTTAATTTTGAAGTAGAAGTAGCATCTGGTGGAAAATGCAGGTGGTGATAATTTTCCTTCATTCTATAAGAAAAGATTAGGAGAGACAATACTAGGTTGTTACTAACATATGCAGAGGTCTATACTAAATGATTCCTAATCATGCTCAGACAATACAAATTTTGAGAAGAGCTAACACGAACCTTTGGAAACACAGATTGGATCAGGTGCGCTAGAATAGTAAACGTCGCCTGCCGACAGATATCATAAGTCGTGTGTGCCTTGTTATGATCAGGTAAACGAAAAAAATCCGGAATAACAGAATAAACAATTCAGTGTGAAAATAATGGCCTATCAATTTGAATAAAAGAAGTCGGTCAACATTTGACCTAACGGTAGATAGTATTTGCAAACAAGGTCATTGTATCGACCATCTACTTGTAATTTACATTTGGCGGTGTATTCTATTTAGCGCCTTTTGCGAAAGGCAGGTTCTGCTAAATTAACTAAGTCGCCAAATTTTTGCATATGTATATATCTATATATAGCACGTTCAGTTTGTTTGCTTGTTGTTTAACGTCCCTCTCGAGAATTTTTCACTCATATGGAGACGCCACCACTTGCCGGTGGAGAGCTACAAATTTTGACCTACACTCGGCACTCAGGGCCATTGAGCAGTGATGGATATTTTTCGTGCCAGCACGTATTGCGACACGGAACCTCGTTTTATACGGTCTCATCCGAAGGACCGGTCTCCACGTCCCACAGTGGGATTCAAACCCGCGACGTAAGGATCAATTCCTTACTCCGCGACTCAAGAGCGAACGCTCTAACCACTGCGCCACGCGGGCAAGCACGTTCAGAAAGCGCTATATCAAATCTACGCTAACTTGTTGTAAAATCGATTTCCGCTAAATATTGAACATGTTAAGTACAATACGGTATTTCATAAAGTTTAGTTATATTTTTCCGTCTATGTCTTTTTTTGGTGAAACAGCCAAATATGACACAGATGTGTCAGACTCAGTGGTGTCTTCAATGGAGTGCATCGAATCAACGTAGGAATGAAACTGAAAATTGTTATCTGATATGACTTTGTCGACATATCTAAATGTCAAATTGAAAAATTGAAGGCCACAGCAGGAAACTTCTTCTTTTCATGTTGAAGTTTTACAAATAAATTCTGCTTTATTAGAATACAAAAATAGGTTTGCTTATAGGGGATGGGGGGCACAGCGAGAACCCATGGAAATTCCAACAGATTGTTGGAATACTAGTCTCCAGAGGTGGAAAGAACAAATATGTACAGTCAAGGTCGGCATATATTGTCTTTGATGTATTGTTTTGACGAATGTTTACTAGGAAAGGAAAAAGAGATTAATTGACAAACACACACACACGCGCACGGAAGAGACAGACATGTATTGTCAATGAGAAACTCAAGAATCTTTTTAACATAAGCTTCAGAGTGCTTTCGTTTAAAATCAAAATGTTTCTTTTTTTTTAAATAAAATAAGTTTGGAGATGTTGGAGTTTTTACAAATAAATTCCGCGAAAGGAAATGTCACTATTAAGTATTCATATCTTATATTGCGTAAATTTAATTTTTTTATATTATTATACTCCATTGTGCTTCTTTTGTTTTTCTTCATCATTTTAGTTCTGTTTTGATGTTGCAGTTTCTAAGTAAATGATTAAAGTTTAACAAATAACTCTTTTCTATTTACTACTATTCTCTATTTGAGTAATTGAACTACTTTTTTTTCAATCTTTCTCTAATTTAATCAATTCTTATGTTCGTTTTATTTATATCTACATGTATGTTACAAATTTAGTTATTCGCTCCATTCATCTGCTGTTTTCATTTATCTCTTTTTATTTAGTTTAACTGATATCTCCTTTAATCTCTTTAACGAATGCTACTATTCTTAGTCTTTATATCACAAATTAAAGTTATCTTTATTCCGATACAACATGTAATAATTAATATATAATATATAATATAGACTTTTTTGTTTCTTAAAATTCATTTTCAAAAAAAGATTAAATTCGTCACCCAACATGCAAGAATCAAATAAATATAATAATATTAACAAATATTTGAACCTTTCAACATTAAGAAATTCAAAAATTGAAATAAAATATTAATGACTTAAAAAAAAAAAAGACAGTCGTCAAAAATGAAAGATATTTTTACTGACGTCTTGTGACGTCATCATCCCTCTGCCATACCTTGTCAACCATTGCCTATTCGATTGTCCTTAGTGAGATGCTTTGTATTTCATTTTCTGCAACATTGAGTTAGACCCTAAAATTGGTGACAAAAATGTTTGATTCCTATCTATTACAAAGATTAGATAATTTTGAGAAACATCACTGTATGAATCATTACTTTTCACATAAAGCAATAAAATTATCCGAGAGAACGAAGTGTTTTGCCTAAGAATCCACTTCACCCATTGGAAGACCCATCCCCTTTCCTTTGAGTCAAACCAATTGTCATTTTGCATGAAATCACATATACATTCCTCGCAGTATTCGATGGAGGGCTACTCTGACACGGCCACCAATCGCTCTAACTCATATCCAAATGATATGAAAAGGGTTTTGTTATCGGGATTTCTGGATATGCGTTGGAGAGACTGTTTGCATTCGCTTCGGAGGTAAATTGATCTCTCTTTTTCTTGTAGTTCGACCATTTTTACAAAACAAAACAAAGAATGTGATTCGACACCTTTTATTAAGATATTGCCTCACTGTGAACTGATAGGGCTGAAATTAGTATTGAAAAAACGTTAGAACTTTTATTCTGTGAATTTCGTCACACAAAACTAACCGGCGGCGTCTAAGTTCCTCTGAAACAAAGTTGCCAAGCGGTTTTGATGTATTTTATTCTGATAAGTAGGCGTAGTACCCTTGAAAAAAAATCGTTTTCCCCTTAATCTGTTTTTGGGCAAAACATGGCGACCTACCCTATTTATTACATTGTACATTTGGCGTATGTGGGTTTGCTAGAACTATGTGAACAGTCTAAATCTGTATAAACTCAGTATATTTTTAAGCCATGCCCTGAACTACAAGTTATTTGTAAAAAAAAAAAAAAAAAAAAAAAAAAAAAAAAAAAAGTGGCATATTTATCGTTCAAATTTTATATCCGTATAGAATAAGTGAGTCTGTCAGAAATCTATGTGTCCATTTGGGAAAAAAAAAGTGCGAAATGTTTTATAATCTAAATAAAGTGATAAGAACTGTTAGAGCTACATATTTGTTAGCAATTCTTTATTGATTCTTGCGACTTTATTGTCATAAAGTATACAATCATCTAATTTTATACAGTATCAAAAAGCAAAAACACAATTACATTGTACATTAATAAAGAATGATATAATTATAGTTATAACACGGTATTTGATTTGATAAATTGGGTTGCCTACATCACAATCACTTGCGTCAAAAACGTATCGATCCACCCGAATTTACATTTAGATTTTGTACAATCTGCGGTCAATTCTTTGGGCAATCATCTTTTTTACACTAAATGAAAATTAAATTATAAGGTACGAATTTAATAGCTAACCAATTCATACGGTGGGTTGGGGCAGTTTAACGCTTTTTCATAAACCGCTTCGCAGTTTATAGAGCGTAAACAGCCCAAACCCAGTTGAAACCTTATAAATTGGGAAGCCATTAAATTAATTCCTTAAATAAAATCATTTAGGAAGACAATAGTAACTTAAATGTAGTTCATTTTGAACAATGAAATACCAGATCTACAATTCAGTAAATGTGCTCTTGTTAGCATGTCAAGCATTCGACCTTGTTAGGTGGATATTGTGATATTTAGCATATTAAGAACCCTCTCTACATTGCACACTAAAGAGTTCCGATTCAATGGTATTTTTCTGCAATTAGAGTGATCTGCCCTTAGATCTAAATTCCAATAAATAGAAATTCACAGTATATTACTCAATTTGTAATCAATACATATATTCTTAACATTTTAAAAGGCCAAGATAAATTAATTGAACATGTTATTTACATGTATTTTCTTCATGGAAGTAAACAACAGTGATTGCTGATCACTGATACTGTGTTGTGTTTGAACATTTTTCCTGGGGGTAAATGCCACGCACGATATATTTAACTTTAAATAGATAAGCTCAATATTTACACCTTTATTCAATGTAATTTTCTCGATGTCCAAAAAACATTTTGCACTGGTGTAGAGAGGGTCCTTAAATAAAAATTAAAAAAAGAATAACTTTGAAGGAATAATAATCACAGATGACAATAGTATTGCGAATAGTTAGTTCAAAATTTCGAGCAAAATAATCTGGAGAACGTTGTTCCAATTAAATCAAATGTGGGTAATATAATCCGATATCCTGCCGCTGAGGTTATACATTGTTACCAGGTATACAAAATTGATTTAAAAAAAACCTATTTTTCCTGTATTTTAAAAACTTTTTAAATGCATATGAAAATAATTTATCGCTAAATAATATTTCTGAACGTCTTAAATAGCTATTATTAAATTATGTTTCAAGTAAAACGGTACTGGTCACTGATCCATAAATGAGCCCCGCTCTCTGTACTTCTGAGTACTTTGATTTTTAATCTAGACAAGTCGTTAGAGTTAGCAAATTTTACGTTTTCAATTCAGAAATTGTGCCTATCCTCAAACAATTTTCCTGAATATTTCTTAATTGGACCATTCTTGTTGATGTTTTGAACGGGACGTGTATATTCTTCCCTACAACAAACAGCTGGTGCAACAGGTGTTGCAGTACCTGTGTCATAAGACTGTCAGACTGTGTGTCGAGATTAATATCAGTCTCAGATTATCATATCAAATCGTGTAATTTTTCATGCTTCAATTTCCCAGTGTATTGAGAAACGACGGTCTGAAGAAGCGAGGGTGCTATCCAAAGACATTACACTGTACAAAAATATAATTGATATGTAATGAGTTTCTTTGATATACTTTTTAAATTATGTTTATTTTCTCCAATATTCAGCACAAATTGTGGAATTTCAGAATCAAATCAATTTGAAAAAAAAAATCTTTTAAACAATTAAAGTTCATTGAGGAACTTTGAAGTTTACAATCCCCTTTTCCTTATCTAGCTCTGCAGAGTGTTAAAATACAACATTTAAACTCGTGAAGAATTTTAAAAAAAAAATTTCTCTTGAAAATGTTTCACACATTTCTACTATCTAATAAGCATGCTAATATTTACAGAAAAAAATATGGCTTTGGGACTTGGAATCTCCTTAACATCATGAATACATTTTAGTATAGTTCATAGGCCATATTTATTCTTTTCTGACACATATACTTGTACTAATCATTTTTCTTTTCATCATAAAATGATGAAAAATAAACGTTAAAAAATACACTGTAATTTTAAATGTTTGTGTACTTTGAACTTTTGATAGACAGGAATGTGAACTACCCTATCTTGAGTGACATGCTAACTACTGAAAAATTTCACCCATCTTATAAATGGCTTTTTCCATCCTCTTTAACTTCAATGACCTAGAAGTAAACGTTTTGTAAAGCGTTGACTTTATTTGATTTGTGCTGTTCTGTTGGACATGGTACCAGTTCTAAGTGCCTCTGTAACTTTTTGTTTAACTCTGTATTTCCGGCTGTTAACTTTAAAAACACGTTTAAACCTGTTTAAAGCTCCTAAAAACGGAAAGCGTTTCTTGTGGTATGCAAGTTTTCCTTCAAAGACGACTGCAATAATATTTTCAATTTTATTTTCAGAGAAGAGACTCCATGCGTGGTTCATACTCCGCAATTCATTCATGTCGTCACCATCGTTCGGCATTGACAATATTGCCAATACTGAACGGCTTTTCTTCATATACTCATACAGTTGGACTTCTCGAACATCACCGAACTCTTCATGAATTGGTGGAACAAAACAGTTATACCCTTTGTGTTCAAGATGCCGAAAGATGTCAAGAGCATATTTAATAATATCTGTTTTTGTATCGTTAAAAACAAAATAAACATCATAGCAATAATGTACGTTGTTACGTTTTGCGAAACGACTTCTTATCATGATAGCATCAAATCTGAAGACTTTGGCTATAAATAAAGCGATTAAAAATGTAGCTGGAATAAGAAACAATGCATAAAGAGTTTCGTTAAATTCATTTTCTGTACAACTGTCAAACGCTTCCTCAGCACGAAGAATGCCATGCGAATCTGTTTGACACAGTAGAGGATTTGAACTATTGACCTGTGACCCTAATCTCCAGGCCTTGATCCATTTTTCCTGACAGCTGCAGGGAACACTATTTTGCCCAAACCAGACCTTACTTGCATCGATATCTGCAAATCCTCGTGTGAGTTTTAAGAGATTATGGTCTGTAAGATGCATCTTTTCCAGGATTTTCAGCCTGGAAAGAACTTTGTCAGATATCTCTGTGACTTGATTCCCGGATAAGTCTACGACAGTGATGTTTTTGAGATAGTTGACGGGCTCTACTTCTTTAATCGCGTTGTTGCTGCAGTTCAGTTCTATGTTGTAAATAGTTTCAGGAAGATATGATGGAAGACTTGTGAGATTTTGATTCGAACAGTCCACAATCATCCGATATCGACTAGGTTGTTCTATACACGAACAGGAAGACGGACAAAATTTTTCTTTATGGCAAACGAACATGTCCAATAACGACGAGTCATTAAATACATTCAAAACATTGAAATTCTTCAGATGCTCCGGAGATGAACATGTATACAAGCCGTCGTGTGGTATGTAATAAAACGTTTTGAAGACCTCCATATCTCCTAACAGTAGAGCTCCTAAATTACAATCACAAGGAAGGTTAAGCTCATCAAACTTAAACAAGCCAATGAAATCATACTTATACATATTTCGAAGCGAACTTACACTAGATCCAAACAGTAACTGAACTGGATGTTGATTAATGGCACAATTATCACATACTACCTCTCCTCCGCCATATTGTACCCCTGTTTGTAAATGTATTTCTTCTTTTTTCACAAATGTTATATCACACCCTGCCAATGTTATGTTACAAAATGCCCTACGCTTAAAGTAGGCATTAGATACATCATAAGATAAGAAAGTATTGTTTGATAAATCTGTGACAAAAATCTCTGTACCATCGGTGTTGAAAGTGGTTGATTCGATAGTTTTTATGTTCGTATTAGTCAGAAGCAGAATACGCAGGTTAGGCATACCAGAAAATGTTTCATTGGATATGGCTGAAATTGAATTCTCACTTAAATCTAATAAGTCAAGAAAATTCATGCAATTAATTCCTTCAATACTTTGTATTCTATTTCCTTTCAGCTTAAGAGTAACCAGGGTGTTGCTATATTCACACAAGTTGACTGGTAACCAGCTCATTATACCATATTCATGAACCAGTCAATGGAATGAAGAGGACGAGTCATTTCCAGCAATGCGTGATCTTCCAAACGAATTCACGTACTCAACAAACAACGGAAGATAACTACGATTCGAGTCAAGTTGCCAGATCGGTTCTCCCTTACATGCACAGCAATGGTCATATTCCTGTTTATCTTGGAGGAAGCAAAAATCTGGACAGAGAACGTTTGGCTTTTCGGGTCCATATTCCGACTTCCAGCTATGAAAATACGGAACATTTGCTCCGGAAAAAGTGAAAAAAATCTGTAGAATGACTGCAACTACTAAATTTTTCATTGTATAAAATGATTTCAATTTAAGCTATGTGCCATTCTCTTCACACTTTTTATCTTATGTGCGCAATCGGTAAAAATGGCGACATAAAATGGCATCGGAAGTTTTATATCCAAAAGACTTCCGTCTACTTTTTCCTTCAATTGTAAATTAAAAAGTTTGTTCATATTCTAATTACTGTTATGTGACGTAAATCGGGACATTGTTTCAGTTTCTTTAGAATATATAGGTATGATTATTATCTTAATTGTTATTGGCTATGGAACATTTTTTAATTGTGATTCGTCACTGTATTTATCAACACTCAACGATTGTTTCGACAGAATACATTATAATGAATTCCTTTCAATGGAAACCAATACATGAGCTGTTTCAAAATTCTTTACAAAGGCTTATCTTTCTGTCAGTAATTACACGACAAGGCAATTTCCGTATAAAAGAAAAAAAGCTTCTGAACAGAAAACAAAAAATCACTTGAATATCTTCCTATGGAATTCGATACATGTGATTTACAGAGGTGGAATTTCCCTTTACTTTTCTCTTCTTGTCCGATCTATTTCAACTACATTTATTTATGAATAGAAATTCTGCATGTTTTTTTTTTAAGTGAGAGCTTCATATTTTTTTTATTCATTTAGTTAAATTTATGTATATGTATTATGTAATTTGGATATCTACAACGTTTAATTTATTTTAAACTTTATTTTAATACTGTACAAAAAGTTAAAAGAAAATTATTTTTTCATCTTTATCTGTCTATTACTTGTACCTGACAGTAATTTATTTATAAATTGTTGTAATATTAATTAATTATTTTTTTTTAACATATCTGAATGAGCTTTATAAATAATAATAAAATTGGAGTGGGATCCAGGATACACGATACGAATGCCATTTTCGTTTATTTTTTTTTTTATTTCTATTTTTAAACTCAAACAGGGAGGTTATAGCGATTTTTACCCGTGTCTGTCTGTTTGTTTTACCTTTTAAGTGAATTGTGATGAGATTTTAATGAGCTTTAGTCGAGAAAAGAGAAAAAATAAATATACCGAGTCAGATCTGGATAACGCATTGAATGCTGAAAATTTTCGGTTTTATTTAAAAATCCAATACATTTCCGAAATATATCTCAAAAACTTATAAACGGTGTGCAATGAAACTTTAAAGAAATGAAAAATAGTTTCATTTTGTAGAAGCATACGGCGAAAATGCAAGTGGTACTTACTACTCATTGAACCAAACAAAAACAAAATTGTAATTTTCAATTCAAAATATTTCAATTAGTCAATCAACATTCATACATCACATAATATTGAACAATAAATTAACGATAAAAAAATCAACCCTTTACACAATTAATAAATTTTAAAAAACGATGAAATATGAATGACATGCAAGATATCCAATGAGTGTTGTTAGATGAGATGTCTTTTTACTGACGTCACGTGACGTCTTCGCCTTTCCCTCTGTCATATGCAATATCTTGCCCACCATTTGCTTTTGGGTAGCTCTTAGTAAGTGGGATGCTTTGGAGTCCATTTTCTGCCACACTAGAGTCAGACTTATGGAAAGCCCGTCCACATTTCCATTCAAATCGAAACTCCTTACAAATTTCCGACCGCCATGGAGACTGTAAAAGATCTTTACCTTAATTCATTATACTCTGTTTAAGAACAATTCAGTAGGATATTAGTGCATTTATGTTAAAAAAAATTATTTGGAATAATTAAATTTGAAATATTATTACTTAATTTTTGATAATGTGCTTATATATATGCCTCAGAAAACAGTGATTTAAAATTACATTGTATTTCCTGGCATTTTGCCGTGCTATCCACAGGAATTCTCCAAGGGCTACAATCAGTCCACAAAACGTTCCTATAATCAGCACGAGGAATATCCCACCAACGTTCTCCATGGTAAGTGGATTTGTCGTTTTCGTCGTCCCCCCTGAGCAATCTACAGCTTTCTTCTGTTTCCACCACTTGTCATACATACTTTGAATTTTCTGCTCTTCTTGGAGTTTTATTATCTCCCTTGATACTCTGTCTGTTAATTCTGAACCTGGAAATGGGATTTAAAAATCTATAAATTGCATGCACTGACTCTCTCGGTAATACTTTTTACATAAAACGATGAAATTATCTTTCACGTAACAATTATTTTTCCAAGGAATCGCCCATAGGACAACAATTAAGAGCTAAAATAAAAATTTTGTACGACACCCTTTGGAAGGCCGATCCCGTATCCTTTGGAATCCAGCCAGTTCCCGACCTGCATCAAATCACAGTTACGTTCCACACGGTATTCGATGGAGGATGATTCTGATAAGTAGGCGTAGTCCCCTTGTAGGACTCGTCTCTCCCCCTCCTCTATTTTGGCCCACACTGGGGGATCTGCACTCTCCATAACGTTATACATTTGGACGTATGTAGGATTGCTAGAAGTCTGTGAAAAGTACAAATTTATAAGATTTTCTTTCAATTTCATCAATATTTTTGGGGTTTTTAATGAGCAGTGACATGCTTCATACTCGTGTCACATCAAACTGTCAAACAAGAGTGTTACATTTGCACGTCTGAAGCATTGAAAGCAAAGGAAGAATCCTCGTCTTTTCTGCTTTATAAATCTTTAAGCTAATATTATTTCACATCTATTCACTATACGTTTTGTAATCTGACCGACCTTGAAGAACTCTAACGTACTTCCTCCTTCGGTGGTTCCGTATTTGATCTTAGACTGTCTGGCAAGATCTTCGGCACTCTCGATTGGTGAGACTACATTCTCCACTGTCAGAAAGGCAGCTAGATTGGCAGTGTAGGACGAGATCAGGATCAGTGTAAAGAACCACCAACATGCTGCCAATGTCCGGGTAGAAATCGCCACAGGGGCCAACTCACAACCTAAAAATCAAAATTAGAAAACCAATCGAACAGGATCATTTCAAATAAATTCCGTTTAAGAATAAAAGATCGCATTTTTCTAATATAATGTATGCTGGTAATACCTACCCTGTTGCATAAGCGCCGCTATCACGTACCACAGGGAACTAAGGGGAGTGAACTGGTTTTCCACTTCCTCTGTTGTTGGATCACATGGGTGCGGATTAATCCATTCATAGGGCGTGAATCGAGCCGTAATAAGAAGCACCAAACTAACCCCGAGAAACACCGATATAATCCCTGCCCACACTGTGTTGTCAAGGGGAGCTAAGAAGGACATGAGTTCCGGAGGGTCGGGTTTTGGCTTCCGGAACAGAACTGTGATCCCCAAATTCATAAACGGTTTAGTAAAGTCTATGTATCTCGCTCTTGTGTGTGTTATTGTAAATCCAGTGATTGCCATATCCACTTTCTAACGTCATAAAACATTCAAATAATCAAATTTAATATCTATACATTTATAAATCATATATTGTTTCATTTAATGTATCAAATTGAGCAGAAGGAAAGAATGTAAGTGGTGAAATTCTGCCTTTTAATATATGCCTCATACTAGCACCTTTCACACTCCCTATGTACTGTTTGAAAGTCCTAACGCTGCTTACTTACGTTCTCAACTAACATCTTGACCATTCCCCAGCACTTGATTGTACCATTAGCCAGCTCTTCACAGTTCCCGTATTCCCCGTCCGGGGGTTGAACGACCTCGTACTTAAAATTCAGTCGTTCCGCCAGGGCGTCCATTATGTCGATACAAAATCCCTCATATTCACCGTCTTTTAAAATGACATAGGGCTTTACCTGGAAAATCATCATATCCAGTTATAAAGATTACATCTAGACGGCACGAAATGCGGAGCTTGATTTGCTTTACAGTAAACCAGCTAATTAGTAAAACTATTACTACAGAAGCACATTTATAACAGAAAAAAATCTTTCAAGCTTATATGAGGTCATACAGCTTTGGTAACTTTGGTTACCTCTACAAAAAAAAGATACATGGAGGTTATACTTTACACTCCTGACTATTTGTCCACACGACATCTCAAAATATGATCAACAAATTTCAATAAAGTTTGAAAAAGGTTAGTAAAGGAGAAGGGGGAGAGTCAAAGACGAACCACCTAGATTTGCTTGGGAAATCCAGTAAGAAATGATTGCAGGGGCATAAATTAATGAGAAAAATCTAGTTCGTAATATCAGATTTTCATAATTAAAGGTTTATATTCTCTAAATGACTTGTAGTTATCGTTTGTTTACAATATGTGATATGTTTGAGCGCATTATCTGAAAAGAATTGCCATTTTTTACTACTAACAACCACCACTGTCACTTTATAGTACTCACTGCCACCACCATCACTTTATAGTCCTCACTGCCACCACTGTCACTTTATAGTACTCACTGCCACCACCATCACTTTACAGTCCTCACTGCCACCACTGTCACTTTATAGTACTCACCACCACCACTGCCATTTTCTACTACTCACTACTATAAATGCCACTTTAATTTACTCATGACCACTGCCACTGTATACTACTCACACCACCACTGCCACTTGATACTACTCACCACCACCATCACTTTATACTACTCACCACCACCATCCCTTTATACTACTCACCACCACCATCACTCTATACTACTCACCACCACAACTGCCACTTTATACTACTCACCACCACAACTGCCACTTTATACTACTCACCACCACCATCACTCTATATTACTCACCACCACAATTGCCACTTTATACTACTCACCACCACAACTGCCACTTTATACTACTCTCCACCACCATCACTTTATACTACTCACCACCACAACTGCCACTTTATAGGTCTTGACGCCTCGTATTCGGGTTTCGTTCCTGTGTATCAGCTTCATATTAACGGATTGTACAGGATCCCAGGACCCGATCTAAAATCAGTTTTAAAACCAAAAAGCCATTTATGTTGCATATATCAGAAATACAAGTTTTCAAAAAATTCAAGAACTTTTGAAATATGCAAAAAAAATCGTGTCACTTTTTTTAATAAAAAAAAATCTATTGCGGGGGAATGAAAAAATATTTCAAGTCTGTATATTTGTACCAAATTCATTCTCAAATCTACTGTTTCTAGTTTCGATCTGTAATTTTTTTAATTAACTTATTTGCAATCAACTCAAAATTTTACAAGTCATGAAATAGAACAACACTGCAAATGGGCGAAAGATCGTCATTGTATACAAGAAAAATGAACAAATAAAAAAATAAGAAAAATAAAAGCTTCTCTCAACTATACTTATCAAACTGTTACATATGAAGAGTTATCCTGTAAAATTATTTATAACGTGAGAAGTCTTACACGTTTAAGTTGACTCCTGGTGAGTTGATATACATTCAGCATAAACATGTTTCTTTCTCCAAACCGACCAAATTGTACCATTCCAGTTAGACCGTCAAATAGTGTGATCTGAAAAAGAGATTTTGTTCGAAACTTTGAAAATTAGGGTCTTGAAAAATAAACAATAGTGAGAGAAAAGTACCAAGAGACACTTGGACCTAGAGGTTTATATCTAAGTTTCCTAAGTTATCTTTAAGGACCTGAAAATTACGTGCATGTACCCAATATATTCATATATAAGCATCTCACTTGCTCTTTTTAACGGTGCTATTAGGGTAAAATTGATCAACATTCTCAAAACTTTAAGGACTAAAGAAGAAGTGAATTTTTTTATTTCTTTTCAATCTATCGTGTTTAACCAGGCCTACCGATCTGATATAATCATAGAAGTCTCGTCCATCTTCCCATGGCGTCGCCCTGTCACAACGCACGCTCTGACTGAAATTCAAATGTTTTTTGCTGGATAGAGTCACGTTCAGGGCCTCTCTCAATAACAGCACACTGTCGTATATAAAAGCTAGCTCTGTCTGAAAAACCAAATTAGAAATAAACAGTACTTCCAACAGATATACAAGTACATTGTCGTATGTTAGAGCCAAGTCTCTCTTAAAATACATTTATAATTTACACTGTATATACATCGTTGTATATATAATTTATCTATGAAAAAAGGCAAATTAGAATTCAATAGCGCTGTTTTTTTTTTTTGTTTTTTTTTGTTTTTTGTTTTTTTTTTTGTTTTTTTTTTGCCTTTCTCGACTTCGAAAATATATGGATAAAAATTGAATTCCAGTTCAGAGCCTACTTAAATAGGCACACACTGTCCAATTAAAAAAAAACTCACTGAGATCTGTTGAGGTCCATTATAAAAAGGAGAGTAGGGATCCTTATTACCCGGAAATGACGTCAATAATTTAGACTTGACTTCCGCAAGAACTGGACTATTTACGTTGATAAGACTAACCCCGGTAATGTTGGCTCCTGAATACTTAAATGGTGACAAGTCCACCATATGGAGGTCCTACAGTGAAAATGTACAGTATTCATGTTTCAACATGTTTTCCACCCATTTCATCTTTATTTATGTGTTGCTTTTAGGATATTGAAATATACTTACTAAATTTGTAATGAAGTAGTGAAAATTCTCTGTCAGTGCGTTACACTGCAATGCCTGCAAACAGAGTAAATATGCTGAAAACAGACACTTGAATAAATAACACTTAATCTAGATCCTGAATTATTCTCTGTGGTTCAAATTCCTACAATATGAGCTACACCTCTGGTGTTTGCGCTCGCCATTTTTATGATCTTCAATGTGTGATATAGGTACAATACAATAGATCTTACCCTATATAATATAGACCTGTACGATACTGTAGATCTTACCCTATGAAATATGGATATAATACTAGGGATTTTTCCTGGTGTGATACTGAATATCTAACCCTGTGTAACGATATTGGAGATGGTACCCTGTGTTATATAGGTACTGGAGATATCACCCTGTATATTATAGGTACGATACTGGAGATGTTACCCTGTATAATATAGGTACGATACTGGGGATGTTACCCTGTATAATATAGGTAAGATACTGGGGATGTTACCCTGTATAATATAGGTACGATACTGGAGGTGTTACCCTGTATAATATAGGTAAGATACTGGGGATGTTACCCTGTATAATATAGGTACGATACTGGAGGTGTTACCCTGTATAATATAGGTAAGATACTGGAGATGTTACCCTGTATAATATAGGTAAGATACTGGGGATGTTACCCTGTATAATATAGGTACGATACTGGAGGTGTTACCCTGTATAATATAGGTAAGATACTGGGGATGTTACCCTGTATAATATAGGTACGATACTGGAGGTGTTACCCTGTATAATATAGGTAAGATACTGGAGATGTTACCCTGTATAATATAGGTAAGATACTGGGGATGTTACCCTGTATAATATAGGTACGATACTGGAGGTGTTACCCTGTATAATATAGGTAAGATACTGGGGATGTTACCCTGTATAATATAGGTACGATACTGGAGGTGTTACCCTGTATAATATAGGTAAGATACTGGGGATGTTACCCTGTATAATATAGGTACGATACTGGAGGTGTTACCCTGTATAATATAGGTACGATACTGGAGGTGTTACCCTGTATAATATAGGTACGATACTGGAGGTGTTACCCTGTATAATATAGGTACGATACTGGAGGTGTTACCCTGTATAATATAGGTACGATACTGGAGGTGTTACCCTGTATAATATAGGTAAGATACTGGGGATGTTACCCTGTATAATATAGGTACGATACTGGAGGTGTTACCCTGTATATTATAGGTACGATACTGGAGGTGTTACCCTGTATAATATAGGTAAGATACTGGAGGTGTTACCCTGTATAATATAGGTACGATACTGGAGGTGTTACCCTGTATAATATAGGTAAGATACTGGAGATGTTACCCTGTGTAATATAGGTACGATACAGTAGATCTTAATTACCCTATGTTATATAGGTACGATAGTCGGATAATAGAGATGTTGCCCTGTGTAATAGGTACAATACTGGAAATGTTACCCTGAGTAATATATGTACGGAAGTCGGATACTGGAGATGTTACCCTGAGTAATTTAGGTACGATACTGGAGATGTTACCCTGAGTAATATAGGTACAATACTGGAGATGTTACCCTGTGTAATATAGGTACAATACTGGAGATGTTACCCTGTATTCTATAGGTACTGAAGATGTTACTCTGTATAATTTAGGTACAATACTGGAGAAGTTACCCTGTATAATCTATTAGGTATAAAACTGGAGATGTTACCCTGTATTCTACAGGTACTGAAGATGATATTGGAGATCTTACGCTGTTTAATATAGGTATGATATTGGAGATCTTACGCTGTGTAATATAGGTATGATATTGGAGATCTTACCCCGTGGAATATAGGTATGATATTGGAGATCTTACCCTGTGTAATAGAGGTATGATATTGGAGATCTTACTCAGTGTAATATAGGTATGATATTGGAGATCTTACCCTGTGTAATATAGGTATGATATTGGAGATCTTACCCTGTGTAATATAGGTATGATATTGGAGATGATCTTACTCCGTGTAATATAGGTATGATATTGGAGATCTTACCCTGTGTAATATAGGTATGACATTGGAGATCTTACCCTATGTAATATAGATACAATGCTGGAGGTTTTGCAGTCGAGGACAACTCTATACTCTTCTTTGTCCTTCATTTCTGTAAACATGCTGTACAAACTTTCTGGATTATCCTCTAACTTCCGGAGATACACTTCTGTTGTTGGTTCTAACTTCATTATTTCTTGTGCTCGGATTAATCCTGTAATATTTTATCCTTAGATTTCATTATCACTTTTATACTCTCTGGCATTTGAGGGTTATCTTTTATGGCAAAGATGTTTATACTTGTTTTGGTTGCACATTGATGAAAGCAATTTACTTCTAAAGCTAATGATAGTCTTAAGTTTTATATTCATTCTTCTTAATAATCTGATCTTAATATATTAGTGTTAAAAAGAAGCATGCTTTAATTTTATTCTAGACGTGCAACAATTTTACTAATAAAATATTAGACTAAAAACTATTGTCAGAAAACGAGCTGGCTGCCGATTGCTGTCGTGGTCGCAACACTGTGACATTTCAGTCAGTTTTTAACCCGCTTCTGAAGTATGAAGTTGATATATAATTATGTGTTGTCTGTCTTGGTACGCTCTTTGTCCAAAGTAAGCCCTCTTCAAGTATATTTAACATTTATTTTAACCAAAATTGTTCGAAATTTTGAAAACTGTTTGGTGAAAATTGATAAGGTGGTAAAGGTACCCCTTTCCAATCTGAAAGTTGCTAGTTATGCCCCCGTATCGAAGATTCAGGGGTATATAGTTTTTGTCCTGTCCGTCCGTCTGTCTGTCTGTCTGTTTGTCCGCAAAAACTTTACACTTGCCCATAACTTTTGATTGGTTGGAGCTATGGCTTTCATATTTCACATGTGTATTCCTTGTGACAAGACCTTTCTTTGGGTACCACCATGTTTGACCTTTTGACCTTGACCTTGGAGTTTTACCCAGTTTTGCAAAATTTTACCAAACTTTAACATTGGCCATAACTTTTGAAAAATTGATACTAGGGCTTTCATACTTCACATGTTTAATCCTTGTGACAAGACCTTCCTTTGGATACCAACAACTTTGACCCTTTGACCTTGGAGTTTGACCTACTTCTAGAAAACTTTAACCTTGGCCATAACTTTTGAACGGTTGGTGGTAGGGCTTTCATCTTGGACCTTGGAGTTTGACCTGTCATTTGGAAAACTTTGACCTTGGTCATAACTTTTGAACGATTGGTGCTTCAGCTTTCATATTTCACCTGTGTATTTCTTGGGAATAGGCCTTTCCTTGGGCACCATGGATTTTGACCATCTGACCTTGATGTTTGACATACTTTTCAATTTTTTTTTCAACCTTTTCCATATCTATTCAATGGTTGCTGCTAGGGCTTTCATATTTCACAGGTTTATTCCTCGAGACAAGACCTTACTTTGGGTACCAACATATTTGATTTGCATTTGAGAAAGTCTAACCTTTGCTATAAATTGCCATACGGGGGCATCAGTGTTTCAAAAACACATCTTGTTTCCTTTAAAGATAGTGATCTTTCCTACCTGGGTTTACTGTAGGTTGATAATGAAAGGATAAATAGTTGCTTACATTCATTTGCATTATTAACGCAACGAACACTTTCTGGAATGAATCCATCTATCAATCAAATAATCAATCAATTAATAAATTCTCACCGTTGTCGTCCTCATAGAGTAATGTAAGATTTTTCCAGTGGAATTCCCGGACGATATACCGGTACCCCTGACTAAGGTTGGCGTAACTGGGGTACAAATTGACATAGGAGGGGATTTTATCTCTGGAGAAGGAATTCGTAATCAAGTCCCGGGGGTCCCAGTGGGCCTGTATTACTGGTATCTGGAGACTACGCCCTATTGACTGAACGTGATTGGCTGAAGCCCTACTGAATGGACCAAAGATTACTCGACTACCGTTCTGTATAGATTCACATACTGAAAACAAAGTAAAAATTTTGTTTTTAAAACTTTGAAAAGCTTTGTTCAAACAAATTGGTAGAGTCGTATGATAAATAAACCTTAATGTGTAAAACAACTGTGTTTATATCTGATTATAATGAAGCAAAAAGAAAATCACAAATTGTTAATGTTATTTCATTCTGTGTACATGTATTTAACCTTGCCTTCCCGACTCAAATGGATCATCGCCAACCACTGATTGAGACAGGAAGTTCGCCGTGGGCACCCCCGGGTTCTTTAAGCTGTCCATATTTAGTTCCTTCATCGCCCATTTGAACATATTAATGGCACCGATACTGTAGTCTCCGAAGAACCCATCTGACAGAAAGAAAACAACACATACATGTGAGACAATGGAATGCAAATGAAACATATTTAGAGGATTTTTTCTCCAAAGCACAATCATGAAGGGAGGAGGGAATGGGATAACCATCAATCCCGGTATAATGTACATTTGTATGAGAACTCAGAGCACCAAGAGTCTCTACACAATTTACAATGTCTTATACAATGGTTTCCCTATATTTAATTTTGACAATGTGTAATTTTGTTTTGTTGCATTGTTGGGTAAAAGCATAGACAGATGTTGAATCCACCCACCCCATCCCTTTACATTCACCCCCAGGTGGAATAGGATCCAATCCTGATCTTGGTGCTGTATTTAAAATGTTTGTCTTTTCTTGCATGTTAATGTATAATGCGTGTCCCCGTATGCAGGGGAAAGCTTCCCGCAGGCCCGGCAAATTATGAAACAGCAGACCGAAGGGTTTTACAATGTAGTCTTTATGTTTTATGAAGTGAAAAATAATGTAATATTGGTGTTTAGGTTAAAAATTTTTATTTTATATTTTTTGTAGCATATAAATAAAATCTAAAAGAAAAACCTAAGAACAGTTGAATTTATTATAATTTGTTTATTTGACAAATTTGAATTCTGGTTGTTAATTAAGCATAAAAATAATCATATCATGACGCCGGAAATCCCATGTATGGGAGGTGAGTGTACAAAATAAATTGATGAACATGGGAAGTTGTTGGCGCAATATGATATGTTTTCATTAATTCGTTTGTCATTAACTATTTCAAAATGATATGTCTTTTTATTTGATAAATGCTTGGGGATTTATCTCTGGGTGAGACACTATGTTTGCATTTCACTAAGAATCATGTATAAATGATCTATAAATGAGGAGTTTCATCATATAGGTAGTAAACAGTTTTTTTATAATGCATTTATCATATGCAGCAAATAATTTCAATGTTTGTATATTTTCCATAAATTTTCATTTCTTTCCAAATGACATTTATCACATCCCTTTTATACACTGTGACACTGTCCTTATACAATAATGCCGAACAGATGATACTTTAAGAACGTCATCCATCTTTATTTTGGAACTATTTTGTTTTATTGTTTGTATATAAATGATAAAATAATGCACGTTTTTAAACAGCTGAAAAATCGATTTCCAATTTTCACCAGCTGATTCCTGATGGATAACACACATAATATAAAAGATAGCTGCAGCAGGGTTTTCGTGCTGAGGGTTAAACAACACATGTTGCTGGTGCCTATTGACTGTAAGACGAAACACGTGCATTACCCATATACATAAGTCATTAGTGGATCTCCAGTAGAGAAAGAGCACATATCATGTGCGCCATACAGAAATCATAGTTATTGTATCAATGTAAGCAGGTATTGTAGCTACAAAAATAATGTGTATATTTTATATCAGTACGACTCCTTCCTTGGGATACAGAAAGATGGACAGATATATTTTGATTCCCAGTTTACATAGAGAAGAAAAAGAAATGTCTTTGTAATTCTTAAAACTAATGATTTAAACCACCTAGATGACTTTAGTTCCTGATTATGTAGGAATTAACTCTCGCTGATAAAGCATTTTAAAGCGGATTATTAGGTTTATCTATTTATTTTAAAGTATTGCAAAGGCACGCATTTTATCTGAAGCGTTCGAATGAACTATGAAAATAATATCCAGTGTTTAAGAGTGAGGGGCATATAAGGTTTTAATCAATTAAATTCAATGATTATACCTACCCACTCTGAATTGCTGTATAGTGTTAATCCCGGTGACTACTGTGGACAAAGAAATAAAAATCAGCAACACAATTCTGTACATCCTGGTGTTTATCGTCATAAACAAGACAGAGAATACAAGCGTGTTACAGGCATACTTCACATAAACATCACTCATTTATCATAATATCAAACATCTCAAAAACATTCATCAGTCTGGTAAATCACTATCAACCCCGATCTTTAAATAATCGGATTAGAAATAAGAATTAAAAACAAGATATCACACGCAGTTAGATCCCCGTTCTTTAAAGACTGTGTTTTGGGACCTCTCCAGGATTTTCTCTGCCGATGAGCGTGTTCGGTATGGTAGTTGTTTACTGGTTACAGATGTGCAGTCATTAGCATAGACATTGATAAATCATATACAACAAAACATCGTTTCCTACTTATCCAACAGTTGCACTTACAAATTTATTTTTAGCATTGATACTTCTACCTGATGTTAAGGTGCAAAATAGTGTCAGTTTTCAACAAATGTAATCATTTACTATAAATATAAATTAATTATTAAAAGTTAATGTTGTTGTAATTTTTTTCTTATTACCATCCTCACAAAATAAATAAATAAATTTAAAAATAAATTAAAAAGTTTAAAAAAAAATAATAAAAACACAATTAATCCTCAATTTAATCTCGCATACTTTCTTCACAGAACAAATACTTCGTGTTTTTCCATTTAACTTTCTCTGGACATTGTAACTTTTATATTAAGTACGTCTTTTGACGTAATAGCAAACAAGGAAATATAGTTCAGAGGTCACACGTGATGCAAAATCGTTATGAACATACGGCCTTTAGTTTTTTAGTCTGTTTATTACTGACAAAGCACTACCAAATGTAAATTTATAAATACAGTATTAGGTTAATAACCAAAAGGTTTATTTTTACAAGACATAATCAATAAATAACCACCTCAACTTTATGGCAAACACAGATGTGCTTAATCTATTTTTATAAACAAGAGATATCAATTATAAAAAACGAGATGTGTTTGTGAAACACTGATGCCCCCGTATGGCAGCTGAAGGCCAAGTTCAAAGTTTTTCAACTGTAGGTCAAACTTCAATGTCAAGAGTTTAAAAAATGTTGATATCCAGAGAAAGGTCTTGTCACATGGAATACACATGTCAAACATAATAACCCTAGTACCAACCATTTATATCGCCAAGATTAATTTTTTTTCAAAAAGTAGGTCATACTCCAAGGACGATGATATAAGGTCAAAAAATAATGTTACCTACGGAAAGATCTTGTCAAAAGGAATGCATAAGTGATCATGAAATGTAAAAGTCCTAGTACAAACTGTTCAAAAGTTATATAGGCAAGGTTAGTTTTTTTTTCCAAATTTAGGTCAAACTAAAAGGTCAAGGTCATGAGGAAAAAAAATATTGGCACCCAAACAAAGGAATACGTAAGTGAAATATCATAGCCCTAACACCCATGTGCACCGCCTAACGTTATGGGCATGTCAAGGTTATAGTTTTTCAAAAGTAGGTCAAACACAAGGGTCAAGGTCGAAAGGTCAAAACTTTGGTTCCCGAAGAAGTGTTTTGTCATAAGAAATACATCTGTGAAATATGAAAGTCCTAGTACCAACCATTCAAAAGTTATGGAGAAGGTTAAAGTTTAGTAATTTTTTGCAAAAGAAGGTCAAACTCCGAGATGAATAGGTCAAATATGTTGGTACTGAAAGAAAGGTCTCATCACAAGGAAAACGCATGTGAAATACGAAAGCCTTTGCACCAACCATTCAAAAGTTATGGGCAAGGTTAAGTTTCTGAACAGTTAGACTGAGAGACGGAAGGAGAGACCAAATACCCCGAATTGACGATTACAGGGGGCATAAAAAATATATTTGTCAATTATCTATGACAATAAATTCGATAATGATAATTTTTTCTTCGATTTTTGTATCGAGTTTAATCTATCCTTAGAATGTGTCTCCAGCGAAGATCATATGATTTTATTGATTGTTAGCAACCTCCAAAGTCCAAACTAAAATGCACATTTCAACTCGAAAGAATTGCCGTGATTGCATTTTTGAAATCGTTTCTTATCCTTACCTGATATATATTATAGTCCCTGAGAGAATAAAAAATTGAAATTGAATTGAAATATAAGAATTGCTTAAAACTGGCTTCAGACAAGTAAAATTTATCTTCTTTATTGAGATACTTGGCAACTATCAGTGCGTTACTGTACGAGTTATAACTCTTACCCAATCATTACTTACAGAAGTAGGACCCTTAAACCTGCCAAAAAGTGTACATTTTACTGATGGTGGTATGATTTTTTTGTTTGTTTGTTTGTTTGATACCTGGTATTAAAAGTATAACTTACATATAGCTATAACTATACTATTATTTTTTTCAAACAATAAAATAAGAGGTTTCACTAGAACTGTCCAAAGTGGACAAATACCCCCGCTGTTTTTGTTTGTTTGTTTGTTTTTTTTTTTGGGGGGGGGGAGGAGTTGTTTTTTTTGTTTTGTTTTTTCAAAAGTGGTATCAAGTCACTAAAAGTATTTCATAGATCTAGTCAAGAGGTCTTCAAAATTTTTTAACACTGACAGTCACAAGTTAAATGAAATCTAATTAAAATTTCCTGAATGGTGGACTAATCAAGTACAGCCTAATAAAACATTAAAATACTAATAATAATTATGTATTTTTTTTTATTAGATTGAAAAATTTGATTGCAACCATCTGTTATATTTGAGAGACATGGCTCTCTGAAATTTGTTTGTTGAGATTTAAAAAAAATAATAATAAAATTTTGATATAAAGCTGTTTAAATGAAAATAACTAATCCTGATGAAACATTTTTTAAAAGGTTACTGCATAACTCCTTTAAATTTGTAGAGATTAAACTGTGATACTTGGTGATTTTTTTTAAGGTTAATGATTTGGTTTTGCAATTGGCGTTTTTTCTATAAGTGTACCAACTAGCAACTTCTTGATTGTATGTCTCAAGTCTACATGAACCCAAAATGACTCTCTATAAAATTGAAAAAAAAAAACTGTAATCTGAAGAAAAATTATCCAATCAGGATGAAAAACTACGTGCACAACTTTATGTGGTGAATGATACGCGTGGAAAAATTCAGACAGATCCATGCAGTAGTCTCCAAGAAATCAAGTCTACAGACAGTCGGACATGTTCATTCCAATGTACACCTCTAAACTTCATTTGCGGGGGGGGGGGGGGAGATAACAGTACAACAACTACTCGATCCTATTATATATGAATACTAATATAACCAATAAAATGTCTTTCTTTGTTAACGTTGCAGCTAAAGCAGAAAAAATACAAACCCACGTACTTTTTCTGCAACATTAATTCCTATACTAACAACTAAAGAAAGCATTTTGAATTGTTTAACACAAAGCCCCTCCATATCTAATCAAAGTTCCATCAAACTTGTATTACTACACTCCAACTTTATTGTAAATAGACCTTGACCATAAAAGTAACTGCCACTTGTACACTATATAATACATATAACGACAACAGATTCTACAATACAAAATTAATTTATTGGCATATAGCTACTATAGCACAAAACTCACTTCTCTCAAAAGAAATTTCAAGAAAAGGGTACAAATTAGAAGAAATAAAATGATCGGCATTATCAATTCTTAAAAAGTCTGTTTCGAGAAAAAAAATTAAAAATAATTGAATTTTGTGCAATTTTCATGGTATTTTGACCTATAGGTGTTGTTAACAAAGAAAAAAAAGACGTAGCCCTAAACTATTAATCATCGAAACGCTGTTACAGTACATTATGCATCGACCAAAATCTGGGAATTTACATTTCCTTTCAGCTTTCTCTGTATCAAAATGTGCAGCACACCCCTATCTTGACAGCTCTGCAAAGGCAGGCAATTTGAAAATCCAAACTATAGATCAAAATGTAGTAAATTTGTATTATAAACTCTGTCTAAGAATCCATACATTTGTATTATACAATTATCAGTATGCATAGAAGTTAATCTTGAAGAACTTCTCAAGTAAACTCGCGTGCATAGTCGAATTAATAGTTAAAAAAACCATGCACATAAGAACACAAATAATAGGGTCGAAACAGAACATTAGAGACATATATATCTGCTTGTTTATGTATATGTGCTAAAATGTATGTACATGGTATAAATTATGAGACAAATTGTATGAAAAAATATCTCTAAATATCTAGATCGGAATGTCACATTGCACACAAATTAGATGTTTATATATGCAAATGAAGTAGTAAGGCACTTTTGACATTCAATTAGGTCATAATTCTTCAAAGTTTTCAAATACAACAGATAATGTTGACATTCACTTTTGATGCACATGTTTTCTTTGTTAAAAAAAAAATATGTAGGCAGAAATGTAAAACATGAATTGATATATAATGAAACCGAATCCATACTCTCATACAATGTATATATATGTACATGTATAATCATTGTAAATGATGTACTCGTGTAAATTATCATATTAAACAAAAAGTATAAAATCCCCTTCTAAATGATTGTCTACGTGATGGTTTTACACAAAACGTTCAAACATTAATGGCTACGAGTATACATCTTGGCGTCCATTGTTTTTATAACTGTTAAGAGGCATGCTCTGTAAACCATTGTCTGTGACGTCAGAACTGGGTTTCCGGTGCACGGGTTTGGAAGCAGAGTCAAAACATCGAACTGCAAATCTGAGTTCCTCGCCAATTTCCGAACACAGGGATTGCTGTAAAATGTAATCATACAATATATTATGGACTGTGACATAATTGAAGAAGAGATCACGTCTTACCAATCTTCACATCAATGTTGAAATTGATGGCTTCACAAAAATCAAAGGATATCTCAATCTCTCACCAGAGGGCGCGCTTCAGATGCTTCACTTACCTCTGTTATGTTTTGCAAAGTATTCACAGCATCACATATATAGCTATATTAGAAATTTGAGCAAAATAGTTCCATACATTTTAGTGTGATTTTCAAAATGACGGAAAGTAAGTGTATAAAAAAAAGATCCATTTACCCTTTTTACAAGCTTCTTGAATATTTAAATGCTTACGTAGCGGGCCCTTTCTGAGAAATACAGGAAACATGATAAACTATGTATTTAGGCGAAAGTTATACAATATAATTCAAATCGGCTTCATTTCTTAAATATATATATATATATATATATATATATATATATATATATATATATATATATATATATATATATATATATATATATATATATATATATATTCAAATTCAGAACAGAAGAGGCCACCGTCATCAAGTGAAATGTAGTTTTACGAGTTTTATTGACCAACTTTAAACAGATGTCGTTTTAAAGCTATCCTTATCGCAAATTTGAATTTGTAATAAAGTTCGAATATTTGAACGTAAATACATGTACTAGTTATTTGTATCTATAGAAGAATGGAAACATAAATTCCACTACATTGAGGATTAATAACAAATGATAAATTAAGTATCTCCACCGAGAATTCGTTACTTAATTCTATAGAGTTTTTTGAAAAACAGTATACGGAATTGGTTATTGTTACGTAATCGATCAAAAGGGCAAAAATCAGAGTAGATTGACTGCTATCTTTTGGCGTTTGATTACAGAAGATATCTTCTACCCCTTAACATAACTAACAAATTATGTATGATTTATTAGATAAAAACTCGTGTAGACACAATTAGATTCCATCATGATAGCAGCACACATTGTAAACATGCAAACATATAATATTAAAACATTTAACCCATTATGTCATTTTTTTAAAAAGAACATGCAGAGATTAATTAGATTAATTGAAGTAATGGGCATTTACAGTCTTCTTCAAGAAAACATTAGGGACTGCTTCAGAAAAAAAATATATTAATGAATAATGATCAACTGAAAATCAAAACACGCAATCCAAGAACTTTTTCGAAATTATTGTATCTTGATAATTATGTTATGCCCCATTTGTTTGGATTTGAACCAGATACCAGTGACTGGAAATAAAAAGGATTCCAGCTCATCTTGCTTTTAGCGAGTTCACGAAATCTCCCTTGGAAGGATGGGAAATCTTTCTAATATGATAAAAAGAGTCAAATTTCATATCAGATTGGATTCTGCATCGTAAAGAAAGGCGTAACAATCCCGCCTCCGAAAATCTTCCCCAGATTCGCCACACAAATACTTTAAAATTGTCCACCTGTTTTTCACATTGCAATAAAAATTAAAATTAAGGATAAATCACCAGCCTGCCTTAAGTATACTAACCTTATCTACTTTGGCGTTTTTCCGTGCTTTCCACAGAAATTCAAAGAAGGCCACTACAGCTCCCGCCATTGTGCCTGCTATCAGCACCACAAATATACCGCCCACATTTCTTATAGTGAGGGCGTTAGTCTTTTTCTGGGTGGAGTCTATGCACTCCCCGTCTTTATTCTTTTCCTTCCACCACGTGTTGTAAAATTTCTGAATCATCTGATCTTCTTGTAATTTTAAAATGACACTAGAAATTTTGTCTCTGTATGGCGAATCTGAAGAGAGATATGAAACATGTACTGAATCAGGTTTCTATACGGTAATTGTACTTTTACACATACATGTATTACTTCATTCACGCTTCATTAGATTACACACAACTCAATTGTCCTAAAGGATTCAACTTTCTAAGGTACACTAAATTCAGTGAGTTACAAAATGTTTTTTTTTTGTACAAAAATAAAACATCCAACACAAACATTATTTTACTCAAAAAATTCTTCTCTATTCCCAACACGCATGCGTAATCACCTTGAGGAAGACCAATTCCATAACCCTTGGAATCGAGCCATTGGCCCACTTGCATCAAATCACAGTTACGTTCCACCATGTACTCTATAGTGGAAGACTCCGCGAAGTAAGCGTAGTCCCCTTCCAGGACACGTGTTTCTCCGTCCTTGTTACTGGCGACAAACACAGAGGGCGTGGCCGACTTCATAAACCCCCACATCCTCTGGTATGTGGGGAATTTGGAACGCTGGAAAAACCAGGGAAAACTTTGTCATTTACATGTGAGATACCTACGAAATTTTCAGGTACATTAAGGATTTCCAATGGAAAATAATAAGTGTATGCATTGTTGTTTATGGAAATATATTTACATTCAATTGACATTTTTTCCTTAAAAACTACAATTAAGACATTTCATCTTTATGTGAACTGAACAACCCCGCGCTGTTTCTTGTATTATTAATGAAATAAACTTATCATCCAGCTGCACAAATGTAATTTTGCAATTTAAAACCTCTTGAAAATACATTTTTTGAATTTGCAGTTCCATAAATCAAGTACGCTTTATTCAATTCTTTTTTCTCAAACGCCGCAGAGAGCTAACAAATATCATTTTATGTTAAATTTTCGAACCTCAAAGAATGACTTTGTGCTTCCAGACCCGAGACTTCCGTATTTAATTTTGGTCTGTTTGGAGAGATCTTCAGCGCCCTCTATCGGGGACACCATTTTCTCGATGGTTAGGAATGCCGCTAGATTAGCTGTATATGAGGAGATGATGATGAGAGTGAAAAACCACCACACTCCGGCCACCATTCTGGTGGACACAGCCCGAGGGGCGATCTCACAACCTGGAATGTAATACGTTCAACATCTACTGCAACAATGTTATCAAAATGACACAATAAGTCTAAAAAACTGTTTGGGATGTTTGTCAGTTTCAGCAAACTATAGGAATCTGCAAGAATAGAACAAAATTAAAATCAAACAATTTGCAGTTAAGTGTTACTAACTGTAAATTACCTTGCTGCATGAAAGCCCCAATCGTAAACCAAAGACTGTTGAGTACAGAAAACTGGTTCTCCACCACGTCCGTGTTGGGATCACATGGGTGCGGATTACACCATTCATAAGGCGTAAATCGCGCAATGACGAACATCATGAAACTAACACACAGGTAAACAGCAATGACGTATATCCACACCTGTGTATCCAGGGGCGACAGGAACGAAAACAACTCGGGAGGTTCTGGCTTAGGCTTCCGGAATAGGATAGTGATTCCGATATTCCAGAATGGTTTAGTGAAGTCTATCACTCTTTCTCTCTCATATGTTATTGTCATACCCGCTACAGCCAAATCAGCTCGCTAGGGAAAAAAGAAAAAGAAATACTTAATTTTTCTGACGTCTGATCGGTAGGGAATCATCATAATACGGATTTTAACAATCTCATTTTTTTTCTTCTTTGACAACTCAACTAAAGACAAGTTGGACTTTATAATGATACAAAGATCATCATTACGCTGCAGACTAATGTTACAATGTCATGACATGTACACATGGAATTCTTTTTTAAATCTTCTGATGCTCCCTATACATCCGATGCTAACACTACAATAAATGGCAGCCATATTTATCAAGCTGATGTCAATTTGATAGACGCATTTCTTCATAAAGCACCTGCATTTAAATCCTTGTGGTTTCTTTTTTTATGTTCTATTAATCACACTAAAAAATGGTACATTTCTTCATTATCATTGTCATGAAAGCTTTCCCAAATCAGCCTTTGCAAAATACAAATTAAACTTTGTTCATTTTTTAACGAATATAACAGCCAATTTTTCTACGATCTTCACACATCCAAATATACTAGTTTAAAACCCATTTTTGTTTTAAAATCTTACCCTCTCCACGAGTTCTTTGACCATCCCATTGCAGACCCCGTGTTCATCACAGTTGCCGTACTCGTTTTTGGGAGACACCTGTATCTCGTACTTGAAGCCTAGGTTTTGGGAGATCTCGTTAAGGAGGTCTATACAGAAGCCTTCATACGTCACGATTCCGTTCTCATCTACTTTTTGGAAGACGTAAGGAGCATCCTATAAATAAATTAAGACTTTTTTGTTAAAAGAAGTTGAATGTTTTTGTCTTATACGCTGCTTTGACGTAATATTTCGACAAGATTGGTTAAAGAGTGTCATGTGACCACTAAGATATTCTATTTCCAAGACAAATTCACTTTGGTTGTGGTTATGAAAAGTTTTCTTAGCAAACTATATTTTGTTATATGATGAACTCAGAAAACTAATACAGATTTGTTGATAACGGTGACTATAAGGGTCTCTATCTGATAAACATATGAGAATAGTGGTGACTATAAGAGTCTTGTTGGCTAACTGATATATGTACGAGAACAGTGGTGACTACGAGGGTCTTTTTGGCTAACTGATATACATGTACATACGAGAACGGTGGTGACTGCAAAGGTCTTGTTGGCTAACTGATATATATACGAGAGCGGTGGTGACTATAAGGGTCTTCATGGCTAACTGATATACATACGAGTGGTGACTATAAGGGTCATGTTGGCTAACTGATATACATACGAGAACGGTGGTGACTACGAGGGTCTTGTTGGCTAACTGGTCACTCATCTTCTTTGTGTTTTCTTTGACATCCTCAGTAATATTCACCAAATTTTTAGGATCCCAGGTACCAATCTGACCAAAACAAAATATCACAAAATCTATAGATTGTTCTTATAAGAAGGTAATTTTTTTAAATGTATTGAACTACATTTATACCTTTTTGAGCCCCATTTTGTCGAGTTTAGTTATATCTAGTGTAAAGTCACTCCGTTCGCCATATTTTCCGAAGTGAATTCTTCCTGTAAGTCCCTCGAAATCCATCTGTACCAAAAACAAATGAATATTATTGTGTGCAAATACGGAAAGGAGTATTTATGTTTTACAAATAGATAATATAATTAGAAAACATTTGATGGATATTTTTAATTTTTGCATGTATTTGTCAGAAAGCATAATCAAATACAATATTTATTGAAATTGATGAGAGAGAGTTGACTTTTTGATTGTTTTTGAGCTGACCGTTTTCATGTAATTGAGCAGACTTAGACCGTCCTCCCAAGACACGGATGAGTTACACCGGATGTTTTGCCGGAAGTTCATGTTCTTGGCCTTCTGAACCCCGTCAAGACCACGTGCAAACAGATAGACCGCGTCATAAATCAGCGCCGTCTCCGTCTGAAAAAAATGGAAGTTTTACGCTGTGGTTCTTCCTTGACAAGATGCTTTTTTTTAACAAAAAATATTTCAAATTCATTGTACATGAATCTTGTCATTCCAAAGTGCAGAAAATTGTGCGACTTAAAGCTCAAATACGCATTCTTTTCGTTCAGAATACAGACATTGACTACACGTCAAATAAGTGAGTAATAGCAAACGCACAACAGATTGTACAAAGCAAAACATTCTGAAATAAGATAAAAATTCTAAGAAAAATAATAGCAAATTACAAAATCTTATGAAAAGTTTTAAATGAAAATACGTGTAGCAAAACACACAAAATTTATTCAATAGTAAATAAAAACAGGTTAGACTATTCCTGATTAAATTTTATCAGATTTCATATGATAAAAATTATTTTTTTTGTAAATATTTTTTTTTTTTATTATCCAACAAAGTTTGAAATATTTATTATTAAACAGGTGCTTTAATATTTCATCTTTCCTTATGTGTGCATAAAGCAAAATTTATGAAAAAAAATTAATATCCTTCGCCAAGGAAGAATTAGCGTTTTGGAAGAAAATGTGAGAAATGTAGATTACAGGTAATCATGCATATTGTGTACACCCTCTCAAATAATATAATCGCTTAAAAAAATTAATGGAATGACAACAGAAATTGTAGTATACTCAACAAAAACTATAACCTACCAATGGTAGATATGAATCATTTCGTGGATAAAAATCATTTGCCTTCTTTCCAAAAAGGAAGCATCGTAAGTTATAAAAAGGAAGAAAAAGTTAATAAACACACTACCCTAGGAAATTTCATTACTTACAGATTATAAACACATATAGTTTAAAAACATTCAATTTTATTATTCAGGTTAGTATTTAGAGCTGGCTTTCCTTATTCATACATTCTTTTCATACAATAGAAATCATTCTTACAGGAATTCCTGATTGGTCCACGAGGGGTGACGTCTTTGAACTGCTGCTGAACATCTCGTACTTCCATTCGCCAGTTACCGCCGTCACCAGTGGGCGATCAGGATCCACCAATCGCATGCCAGTGATGTTTGCACCTGCGTGCTTAAATTGCTCCAAATCAACCAATCCAAGATCCTGATAAGATAAGTCAATTATGTAATCTAAACAGATTCTTCTATAAATTTATTTCTTCAAAATCTTGTATAGAATGCCTATATCATGACATTTAAAAATCTTTTCATCGAGTAATGGAGATAAAAATCTTCAGTACTGATCAAGAAATGTTCCCATTCTTGGGCTTTCATAAATGTGTCAGTAGGATCAAGAATCTCATTTTACTCAAAACGGTAAATATCAAAGGGACGAATTACAGTTACTTACCAGCGTAGTAAACAAATAATGAAAATATTCCGATGCGGCATTGACTTGAAGGGCCTACAATGATAAAAGACCGAGCTATCACCAAATATTAGACCAAATATGTTGAATAATTTTATGACAATAAAAATCTTTATTGGGTGGTTTCTGTTTGCGTTTTTCACATTTAATATGAAATAATTAGAGAAAGAATAAACACACAAATATGGTGCTTAATGTTAAAATATTTCAAACAGGGTTAATCCAGCAGAGAGATGAGGGGTGTCCAGGTCCCCCCCCCCCCCCCCCCCGCATTTTCAGTGTAATTAACATATATGACTTTAGACACCCAACCACCCTTTTTAGAAAAAAAATGAACCCCTCGAAAGATGTTTGAAATAAGATTGTAAATGAAGTGGATGCAATTTTGTCTTTGATAGGGATAGATGCCCCCAATCCTAGGTTTTTTATTTCGAGTTTTTGCGAACTTTTTGTGTTCTTTTCTTTCAATCTTTTTGTCCCTTTTTCCCGCAAGTAAACATTTTTTTTGATGTTATTTTTTAATGACGAGAAATGATCCCATGGACCCATTAAAGAAAAATTCTTGGATCCGCTCTTGCTAAAGCTGCTGTGACACTCACTTTTTCCAGTATGATCCCGACCCTGGAGACATGGCAGTCAATTATTATTCTGTATTCCCCCTTTTCCTTAAGATCTTTAAATAAACTGATGTACGTTTCCGGATTGTTATTGATTCTACGGACGGTAACTTTGGTTTCTGGGACATTGGACGCTTTTAAAACTTCCTGTAGCCGTATTAAACCTAAGAAAAAAAATCAAATGGCAACAAAATACTTTATCAGTACAGAAAGGATATAAATTATGCTGATACTAAAGGAATGACCAACAAAGTCTCAAAAGCTTTCACAACAAATCAAAAACATGTACAATAAAAATGACATGATTTACGATTCTTATCCCTGATATCTCTATTTGATTCTGCAGCTTGTTTTCTTTCTTTCTGAAGTGCAAATTCATAACCTGTCTGACATTTTCATCACACGCAATATAACTGCCACAAGAAACTATCACATCAACTAACCCCTAACACAGAGATCCATTTAGACACGTACTGCATGGTTTAAGATTGAGAAAGTCCAGTAAAATTGCTCGGTCTGATTTTTTCAGCTGTTCCGAAGAATAGTTTAACATAACTTGAGAAATATATGAAATAGAATCGTATTCATTGTCTGACATGATATCAATGTCCTTATTCCACGGGCGGACTTAGTCACTCAGTCCTCCACCTAATGTCTTTATTACTGATTCTCTCACCGTATCATATTCTGCACATAGGCGTCGGAAGCAAATTGAAAGTGGGGGGGGGGGGCTACTTGAAAGAGAAAAAAATCAAACCTGAAAAAAACTTGACAACCCCCCCCCCCAAAAAAAAAAAAAAAACAACAAAAAAAAAACAAAAACAAAAACAAAAACAAAAGAAAAAAAGGAAAATTGAAAATTGTCCAAACCCGAAAATCCTTCTAGCCCCCCCCCCCCTCCCCACTCGGTTCCGACGCCTATTCTGCAGTCATCTTACCAATACGATGTCTTCATTTATAACCTAAACAACGTTTTCATCACTCAATCGCTCAATGAATATATCAGTCACACCCAATATCTTCCTCATTTACACTTCTGATCAATTTATGTCATCCACCCAATATCCTGATCTTCCTCATGCAATCACTCTATATCAGTCATCCACCCAATATCCTCAATTTTCCTCACTTACTCATCTGATTTATTCATCCGTCATTTACCCAATATCCTCAGTCTTCCTCACTCACTCTATCCATAGAGCATTCACCTAATATCCTAAGTCTTCCTCACTCACTAATCTGATTTATTAGTCAGTCATCCACCAAATATCCTCATATTTCCTCACTAACTCATCTGATTTATTCATCAGTCATTTACCCAATATCCTCTGTCAGTCTTCCTCACTCACTCTATCCATAGAGCATTCACCTAATATCCTAAGTCTTCCTCACTTACTAATCTGATTTATTTATCAGTCATTTACCCAATATCCTGTCTTCCTCACTCACTCTATCCATAGAGCATTCACCTAATATCCTCAATCTTCCTCACTCACTAATCTGATTTATTTATCAGTCATCCACCCAATATCCTCAATTTTCAGCACTCACTACCCAATATCCCCAGTCTTCCTCACTCACTCTATCCATAGAGCATTCACCTAATATCCCCAGTCTTCCTCACTCACTTTATCCATCAATTATTCATCCAATATCCTCAGTCTTCCTCACTCACTCTATTAATCAATTATTCACCCAATATCCTCAGTCTTCCTCACTCACTCATTTGATTTATTCATTAGTCATTTACCCAATATCCTCAGTCTTCCTCACTCACTCTATTCATCAATTATTCATCCAATATCCTCAATCTTCCTTGCTCACTCTTTCCATCAATTATTCACCCAATATCCTCAGTCTTCCTCACTCACTCTATTCATCAATTATTCACCCAATATCCTCAGTCTTCCTCACTCACTCTTTCCATCAATTATTCACCCAATATCCTCAGTCTTCCTCACTCACTCTATTCATCAATTATTCACCCAATATCCTCAGTCTTCCTCACTCACTCTACCCATCAATTATTCACCCAATATCCTCAGTCTTCCTCTCTTACTTATCTGATTTATTTATGTCATCCAACCAAAATCTTCATTAGAACTGAATAATTTATATACTTGTTTCCATATTAGTATCCAACCATAGCAATGTCTTCATCGGTAACCAGCTCTCTACCTTTATTCAAATGAATACGAATACATCAAGTAATTGTGTACAATTTAAAACTTACCGTCATTGTCCTCATAGATTACGGTAAACTGTTTCCATTTCCAGAAGTCAATCAAATTTCGGAAGGCAGAGCTCAGAGACAGGTAGTGTGGATACAAATTTATAGAGAAATGATCCTTATCCGGGTCTCTGGTATCTGTGATGACGTCACGGGGATCCCAATGCGCCTGGATGTGAGGAATGGCCAGGAATTTACATATGGACTGCACGTGACTGGATGACACACGGGATCCAGGTCCAAAAATAACCTTACACCCAGCAGCAATTTCTCGACATACTGTTACATAAAAAATATTGGATTTAGGTATATTACTTATCTTTCTTTAAAAACAAAAGAATCTTGACAAGGTAGCCAGATCCTGGAGAAATGTGAATCTAGAAACTTTTGTCTGCAGTTTGATGTCTTTCTAATGGCAAGTGCTGTATATGCTTTTTTTCATAATAAGGACAGCTACTACATTAAGAACCCTTACTGGGTTTATTTATATTCCATTCAAAACATAGACTACCAACAATCTAACCCCTCACAAAGACCTTACAACCCCACCTCTGTTATAGACCTCGGGCCTTTTCAACTATTTTTAATCATCTTTTTATACCATATATACGTGTATAGAATGGGATAGGAATTTATTATGAATTGTTTGTTTTGGGTAATTTTTCGGATTGTTGACATGGATTATATCACAATATATCACATGAAGATAATTTATGAAAAAAGGGAAAAGGGTTGGGTTTATAACAGGGGTAGGGGGTGGGGGATAGGGGTCCTGTCTATTAAGCCACAGACAAAATATATAAATTCAACGAAGTATTGATAGATAGAAATCACGTTTGTTTTGGTAGAAAATAATTGCGAATAAAATATTCTTTTAATTTGGTTTGGCCTAATATAACGGAATGCTAATCGATTAAAAACTGAGAATTGAATGCACTTTTTTTGTTCTAAGGGCAGATCACTCTAACTGCATAAAAGTAGCATAGATAAGTACATGTATTAGTATACATTGTGAAAATGTAAGCAAAGAAAGTATTCAATTACTTTATTTTCATCTAAAATAAAGATAAGAATACTTTTATCTATTTCATATTGTGTCATTTACTGTATACAGTTGTATTTTATTTCATTCCGTTTTACCCCAAAGGGCAGATCACCCTAGCTGCATAAAACTACCGTGGAATCAGCTCTTTAGGAGGCAGTGTTTATAGCTTCCTTAAGACCCTCTAATAAGTGTACAGTGAACCTGTTTTGAGTGGGGGGATTTTCTCATTGATAGACAAATTTTCTTTAAGACTGAAAGAAATTGCAATAGCATCTTTACAATCCTTATTGCCCGTAGTGGAGGATTTTTCTCATTACTGTGTTTTTTATTTGATTGTTTGTTTATTAATTTATTCATTTATTTTTTTTTAATTTATTTATATTTTTAATTAAACTTTATTTTAATAGCAAATGTTTATGCATATTACCCATTCACTGGTAAATGTGGTTCAAAGATACGTGTAACGGGGCAAATCACTGCCAGATGAAATGTGTTACTTTTTCTTCATTAAACTCCTGTACCAAGAGCCTCTTCCCTCAAATCCCTATTAATTTCAGTTTTCCACGAAAATTTAGACCTCTTCTAGCATGACGAACTGTTCTGCCTTGAACGTGTCAAGAAAAAGCGCATTCTTAATCAGGACTGGCATGATTTACAAGAACTTATAATTACTTACACGTGACTACTTTTTGTTCAATATATGAAACAATTAGAGGCGCATTCACATTGTATGAAAGATGAAAAATAATCATTGATTAATTTTAGATGGTAAAAAATTAAGTAATATCGAAGCACGTGTAAACGCTTCAGATGTGCTGAGATAAATGTATTGCATAATCTACAGCTGGGAATTATCTATCGGAATGAGGGGGACTTGCAGGAAAAATCCCATTTCTAGAATTGACAGTTTCGTTGTTTATCATAACTGAGCAACCCAAAAAAACCTGATGTTATTTATCTATAAACAACTGGAAAGATAATTATAAATATCGGTTCATCACAGAAACATGGAAAAGACTGTCATAACGTTCCATCAGTACAAAAAACAAAAGGCAAATTCCCATTGGAACACTCGCTTTTACATGTACAGAATGTAAAATGAAAGAGAAGGCGAATGTTGTATTTCAAATGCTCGTGTGTTGTGTATGTGGAATTAATGACATCCAGATGCCAACTCAATCATCTAGCCATTATCTCGAATTCATCGCTTGGCTATCTGATATAACCCTGTTATTCCAGATAGGAGGCGCTGTATCTGCTACTGTACTTTCACACCAGGGACGTGTGCACTATAGTTGTTTATTTTGCAAAGGAAAAAAATATAATTCATGATTTTAAAACTATTCTGGTCAGAGACCAGATGAGCTTATAAATAGGTAAGATACATGTCGTCCTTCCGTCAACTTTCTGTCTCTAAACAATTTTTCAAGACGCTACCCCTCGTACAGTTTTGATCCAATAAGACTTGGCGCGCAAGTAGAATATACTAAGATACATAATTCTTTCTATCGGTTTTTGACTTTGTCAAACGGTGTTGCCATGGTTACTAAAAACATTCTTTCAAAATGCTACTTCTCTTTCAGTTTTGGTCCAATTTCAATTTCAATTTCGTGCACAAGTAGACTATACTAAGACACTTAATTCTGTTTGTCGGTTTTTGAGTCTACAAACGATGTTGCCATGGTTGCTAAAAAAGAAATTTCTTTGATTTTTTTTAAAACGCTAATCTTCCTTCAGTTCTGGTATGATTAGATTTTTTACGTAGGTAGACTACACTAAGATATATATTTCTTTATTATTAAATACACAACAGTAGAGCCACAGTCTCGTCATAGACTTTTGGTTTAAATTATGGGTTAAGCCATTGACGTTTTGAAACATCTGGGGCACAGCATTTGATCTAATTTGTTTTTAGAGTTATCATTCACTGAAAGGAGTTGCGTTACGGTCCAGAACTGATTGTATATAAGTCTAACTCCAACTTCTGGTTTTGAATTTTAAAAAAAAAAAATAAACAAACAACCACAAACAAGCAAAAAATATGAAATTGTAATGTATAATAAATTAAAAACAAAACTTTCAAACTAAGAGAAAATAGTTAATTTTATATTTGTGCGTTTTGTCATAGATTTGAAAAGATTCCACTAAATCAACCTGTTTCTAGAGGGAAAACAATCTTCTGACAAAACAAATCACCAATGTGTACACATAATTCGTATAAAGCAGAATAAAAACAGCTGGAGTAGATCTATAGCTACCTTTCTTGGAGACGTCGAAGCTGTCGTCCGGAGTGACTTCTTTCACAATGTAGGCTACGAGGACCTGGCTCAGAATGTCATTTCTCAGGTTAACCTTCTGCATCGTCCATTTGAAGGCCAGCTCTGCACTCTTGTGTTCGGGCTCGAAAAATCCATCTAAAGTGTAATTATTACACAATTATTATATATAAAACTTGCTAGCTTCATTCTGAATAGCTTTAGATTTTCAGTTGTTAATAATGTTCTCTGTTTGTAAATCTGTAAAATTTGTCTGTTTATCGTGTAAATTGTATAGGAATTATAGATTTCCCACCCAGTTTATGTAATCACAACAACACACAATGGATACACCACTGGTTTGTCAGAATAATTTTGTGGAGAAATAAAATCATTAACAAATGTTACCATGCTCCATATCAAATCCGACTTAATGATTTGTGTTCTAATTCTGGTACAGAAAGTTAATACAGAAATACTGAAATGATGATTAAGTACACTATATAAAATTGCTGACGCACCACCATATATAGAAATTTAAGATTTACCTTACCAAAGTTATATTTAACTTTTTTTTATTTAACAGCCATCTTCGGATATTCCCGGGTGATATCCTCTTGATGAGTAAAAGATGAGTAAAAGAAGAGATCACCCCATTAAGAACTTTCTTAATACATGTATCATTATTTATAGAATTTTAACATGCTTCATACATTTATTTTATTACAATATATGTTTCGTACTGGATGGAAAAAAAATAAGTATAGGATCTCCCAAGGTTTGTGGTAGGATATGATTTTTTATCCATCGAGTTGTGTGTGTTTTATCCCCGAGTCTTGGCAAGGGGATAAAACAGACGAGTTGGATAAAAAAATCATATCTAACCACAAAACCATCGGAGATGCATTTTATCACATGTTTTACACAAAGCTATCACTTGTTTTACACTGTCTATATATGGAAATCCACATTTACGCAAAAATCATTGTGACGTCACAACCGTGGATATGAAAACGATATCCTATGAGCTATATCAACTGTATAAAAGAGTAAATATGTGATAAATAATTTTATATGTGCACAAGAATTAGCTTACTTTTGAAGTTTAAAATATAACTCGATAATTTTTATTTTACGTCAACGTCATTACGCTAATTTTAAGATGGAAACTTCAGGGTTATTTTTCAGTGCCTAAAAGGTTGAAAGGGAAAAAATAAACTTATTTTTACTCCCCATTTGTTTCCTTCAAAAGAAATTCTTGTCGTTTGAAAAGCTGTCCGTTTGCTCGATAATGCTCATTGGAAAGTCACGAGAAGATGCGACTGTGAAGCTGTTGTTAAAGTAAGTTTCCATACTGCAAGTCCAAGCGCTAGTATTTACAGAGAAAAAGTAATATGTGCTCGTTTAATATAGATCCAACCTTATCTGTCGATCACTAAAATATTCGTGAACATCACAACAATTACGGTCATGCAAGATTGCCAGGACATGATTATTTTTAACACTATTTTTGCTGCTGTCCTTATATTTATTGATAAAACCTGCAGATTTTAAATTGCTATGTTATATAACGAAATTCCACTTGTATTTCTTGTACTTGCAGTTCTAAGAATTAGTTTGCATGACATATTGTTATACGAGGGGTGATCAGAAAGTTCACGAACTAATTGAATTACTTCCTTAAAAGAAATAAAATGAGGTTTCAGTGCTCATTATATAAGTAGGCCTCTCCGATTATAATGTACATCAGCCATTGTTCTGCCCATGCGCGAATCACGTGATCCAGGCGGTCACGTGACACGCTCCGTGGCGTTCTGTTCACAGAAGCTAGAAGATTTTTCCGAGTCTTATATTTCTTACCATGCGTACGCAAGTTATTTTTTTATAACAAAAACAGTCTATCTGTCAGAAATGGCCAAATCTCTGCAATAGGATGGGTGGATAAGGACATCCCTTCCAAGATTTAGCATGGTGGTCATCAAAACCCGAGTCCTCTGTCTCGGGAGCGTCGTTTATCCCATGTGGATAAAGTATGGACGACCTTTTTTATCTATAATATCTCATATGTTTAAAGTCTAAAGTAAACGATATTTTAGGGATTTAATTATTATATTATTGTTAAGATATTCAACTATTTTTTTAATTGTAACTTGGCGATCTGTCATAACAAATTGCTCAACTAAGGACATATCTCTTCCCCAGCTTGCTTTCGCTGGGCAACAGAACAAACATCATTTTTAACCATCTCCTTGCCTTTACTAAAACAATCAATCCAATTAATGATTGAACTTCTGGTAAGTCTTTCGTCTTCATAAACCTTGTACAAATTATCATATTCTACTGCAAAGGAATTTCCAAGATATACGTTAAACTTTACAACCGTTCGTTGCTCGAGTCCGACTGAGTCAACCATTTTTTGTCACGTCACCTACATATTGACGTCATTTTCCCATTGTGACGTCACAAACACGGAGCAAAACATTATATAACATCTGTTATTTATAGAACATGTGTATGACTATATGTGTGCCAAATTTCATTCTGATCTCAACTATGGTTTTGTAAATATAGAGATAGTTCGCGAACTTTTTGATCACCCCTCGTATTTATGGAGAGGAGCCAGTAAGTTGTAAGAACTTTGATTTACAGTCGAGCCTCGTTACATGTGTAACTATATTTCCGAATGTACTGTCCGGATTATTAAAGGGTCTGGATTACTGATCATGAAACATACTTGGTATATCAAGTTCCCATCAGATTTCATACGGAAGGTGAAAGTCCGAATAATTGGTATCCGGATTAACATGATTAACGAGGTTCCACATGTTCAAAACAATATTTGGGATAAATCCACTGAAAACCGGCCGAACAATTTTGTCTTCCTTGTTGTACACAATGTCTCACCGGGCATTATTGTTCTTGTGTTATAATTAATAAAACATGATATGTTACTTTTATTAAAAAAAAAAGTTAAGAATGATGAGAACAAAAAAGACATTTATAATTAAGATCTGTCATTTTTAAAAGGCATTTTTCTGTAGAAGATTAATGGTCTGCAAAATAGACACACGTGCGCCACATGGCGTATAAAATGTTTTCAACTAGCTCTTGACTAATCCAAATGTTAATTACAGTTGTAATCTTACTGAGATTATGTAACTCCATTGGCCTTTGTCTGTGTTCGTTTGTTTGACTTCAGATTGATATAAGAGATAGGTAACTGTTCAATACCTAAACAGCGTGAACACAAAGTCTCCGTCATTTAACATATTGTTAATACATTGTCTGTCAGGGTCATACTCTGCATTGAACCATCAAGTCAAACCCTGCTTTTGGACATATGAGAGTATGAGTGTAGTTATAGTATGAAGAAAAAGGATCTTTTTAAAGAAAAAAACCCAGACAAAAACATCACTTTCAATTACAAAGTTGTAATAGCTTTATTGTGTAAGTGCCAAAATCAATCGTCTTTGTTGGTTCACCACTGAACTCTGACCCTTTTCTGGTGTCCTATAATGCACTCTTATTATAATATTTGTTTTTATTTTATTTGAGGGTTATCATCGTGTCGAAAGAGAAGCTTTTTTATAACCTAAGCTCATTGAACCCGTGCCCCTGGGAGAATGGACACCCCAGTATCGTTGTGTAGGGAACATCAGCTGAAATTTCAGCTTATACTGCTCTGTTATTATTTCTCCATGGTATTGTCTTTTTAAAAAAGTTTAATGTTATAAATTACAGAGTTATCGTTTCCCCAAAGGCCGATTTTGTTTTCAATTTTGAGTGTCGATACAACGTTAATTTGAGACTCTGATTAGATTACAAGTCGTCTCTGTGTTTTAATATGGTTAATTTCGGGATGCTAACCCACCTCCGGCAATAATAAAATGAGGTATGAGCCTAAGTTTCTCCATTAACTTCGAATTGATTGCTCGGCTCTCTGGGTTTTCTTGAAAATTGTCTTTTAAAAAAAATAGGAATGCATGTGTTTTTGTTTCGTATTTTTTTTTTCAAAGTCGATATTTCTTATTAAAGAAAAGAAATTATCTGCTGCAGAGGACGGAACATTATTATTCATCATAAGTCTAGTGTTTGCAAAATATTCTTAAATTGAACAAATGCATTGTTTGATTGAATTAGGCTTTAGTTTTTGTTTTAGTAAATTAAAAATAAAAATATGCAATTGTGATAGATCTTATTGAATGTGTTCTGTGTATACATTGTTTAAATAACATATATAAATATCTGCATTTGCTGACATTTTTTAACTTTGTACATTTAGTTCTGGCTGGCAAAAACTTTGTCCACAGTGTAGCAATCGGTGATTTCTTTTAGCACTTTTTGGATTTTTCGGTGTTATGTATAAACATTTACTTTACCTCTCCAGTATGAAAAGCGATTGAAAATCGTGTGTACTCCAAAAACATTGCCTTTTAAGTACTGTTAAGGGTAAATACAATTTAACAAATCTAATATCAACAATTCATAATGTACGCCACAAAGAGGAAAGAGCATCGAGTACCTATGTTTATATATAAAAAAAAGTTTTGTGCTGGGCGGTTTTTCCGACAGCATTGTCAATCTTTGTGATATTATTTCAGTTGTCAACGCTAAATAAATGGGTTTAAATTGAAAAGGAACTTTAATAGGCAGTAAAATGTCTTTAAATCTGATAAAAGAATTTCCATTCAACCACACTATTTAAATATGATTAAAATTCAATATTTTGAAGGTTCTGGGTGTTAAAATTCAAATGAGATTCTGATTTCTAATTGATATTCCTCCATCTGTATACAACCAGATTTGAATGCAACACCGCTGTATTTACTGACTCGCACAAATTATAATCATTTGATAATTAAAATCGGGATCGTGAAGTCTCGAGAAAACGATCTCCATCGGTCATGACTTATAATGTACAAAGTGAGGCGGCATCTGGCCAGAGATCAATTTCTGTTTTAATATTCGTCCTGTGTTACTCGATACTAATTCTAAATCCCCTGTGTCTGGCTTTTACACAGATTTTTAAATGAATGAATGGATAGCTACCCCCTTAATTAATATTAACCACGACAATATAATAATTAGGCACTGCTCTGGTATACATAATTTGATAATTTCAAGAGTTTTAAATGAAGATTTACATTTGAAAATATTTGAGGAAGTTAAAGGTCACAATATGTAAATGGTCTTAGTAATTGTGCAATCAATTATTCGCAACGTTAACATTCCGGAACCCTGAAATGTAGAAAACATTTTCAAGTTTAAAGACATGATCTCATGTTTATCATATTGTACGTACACCTTGTTAAAATTGTATTTTCTCTACACTGTTTTTCAGTTATGAGAATAAAGTTCATTGTCATTGTTTATAATGAATCGAAGTACGGTAAATTTCCTTTGTTTTCAGGGGATAGGCATTATGTTAGGGGATGATGAGTGTGTAAATATTGACTCAGTGAAACTTACATCAGTTCTCGTTAACGCCACACCAGACCCCTCACACATGGCAGTGGGTTATATCGAGCTCTACCGAAACTCGGGGAGGTAAACTACAAGTCAGTGGCGAAATGGAAAACTGGGGATTACAAATAAAAAATTCCCAAGACAGTTTATACCTTAAATATCATAATCCAAGAACCATCTCCGACATGAACGCAGTAAACCGCACTAAGCTCTTTGTCGCCTCTGTAATCAGCAACACGCGAGTTTCTCATCTTATGATAAAAAAAATATAAAAACGTTTTGACGTTCATTATCCTAAACCTAAAAAGCAAACCTGTGTTACTGATAGAAAGTGTAAGAGTACTCACCAATTCTGATCGTGTTCGGGTATTGCTGAGTTTCACAGAAACTGATTAAATAGAATATCACAAATGACAGAAAAAGTACACATCCGTGCTTATACATCTCCAAATCAAGGAAAGAAGACTATCACACAGAACACACGGTGTGCAGCTCTTCTCCTACCCTCCGACTGGCCCCTCCTCCATACAGAGCTAACGATCTCTATGAGAAGCCACGAGTGTGGCGTCATTAAAATTCACAAACAATGCTCATCTCACAAGGCGCCTCTTCTCGTTGGCATCTGAAAATAAGAAAACATTATAAAACTTCACCAAAAAACTTCACAGATCCATGTGACATTTTAAAACCGAGCTTTAAAAGTTACTGTCAATTAAAGCGTCAAAATAAAGTAGCAAATTTATGTTTGTGGTAAACTTACAAGTTTAAATTATATTAAATCTCGTATACAAATGTTTTCCGTTATTTTTCCTTCTTGTTCGGGAGGCGGATTCCATGCACTGTGTAACAGCAAGGCGAGGATTAGTAAACAGTAGCGATATCCGCCAAGAGCTGTTGAATCAAACAGAACTCATTTCAAAATTACACAAATATTTTGTTAACGGCACTAAAATCAAATTAATCCTTCGATGAAATTGCGCTCCCGCTGAAAACAGAATAAACTAGAAGCCTTCCGAAGTTCCCCCGTAAGACAGCAGGGGTCGGATTTCACGTGGTCCTAATCGTTATCGGGGAAGATCTTGTATCGATGTAGGAAATTATATTTATATTCAGATCAATACATAAAATCTGGTGTCATTCGAAACGGAGGGTGATATTCAGCTAGAGATTCCAGGGCAAATAATGTCGCTTCAATATAACTTGAGTTTTCTGTGTACTACACAATAGGAATGCATCCAGGCATCCCATTATAAACGATAATATCTTGTTCTTTATCGTTTGTCAAAGAAACAGCCTTATGTTCCTTGACAATTTCGATAATAAAAAGCAAAATATATTATGTCTATAGCAGAACGAAGAAGCGATCACTTTTATGATGCAAAGTTTAATCTTAATAAAATTAAGGTTATAAATGTACACAATTGTTCATTGATTTGGGGGCGATATTGCCCCAATATAATCGTATTAGTAACACATCCCCAACAATAAGAGATTTAAACTTTTTATTATGTAGATATGTTGTCCGATGAGTTTGTATAAAGTTTGATTACAATGAACAGAACTGATTTTAATTAGATTTAACAATCCAGACCCATTGAGTAGCTTAATTGATAAATCATCAACGCATACCTGACCTTTATTAATGCTTAGCACTATATGTATCAAATACGTAATTTTATCAAAATAAATATGATACTTTGTACAAACGTAAAATTGCAAATGCAATGCGATCGAATTGTGCAATGCTGAAAAAATGGTTTTCAGATCACTGTAAAACAACTGCAATCAGAAATCAAAATTTTTTCTCAGTATCACTAGGAAAAATATAGACGGGTATAATGATTTGATTAAATTGCGCAATATTGAAAGTGGAAATTAAAAAAAAATACTGGGATCAGGACGTGGAATCATATTTAAACATCTTAAGCTTCAGACAAAATCTGCATGTATATTGCTCTGAAATGATTTAGAAGACAAACATTCCAAAATAAAAACTATTTTCAATCTTGCATTATCAAACAGTTGTTGTATGGAAATTACGAGTTTCAGTTCACAAGTAACAAAAATCTTCCAGATGATTGAAATTTTACTTAAGTCTTAGTTAGATCTGTTTCATGATCCTGGAATTAAAGAGCAGAGTCTTTTCCTTTACAAATGGTACGTATCTATAGAAACACTGGGTAATAAACTTTTATGCTAATGACGCCACTGTACATCAACACCCCAAGACTGTGTATATATACACTGACAGACTGTCACCGTGGTTTATTGGGGAGACACCCAACTGTGTGTCAAATTGAATTCTTTCCCCCGGGGGAGCAACAGCCGAGGAAGGAGTCGTGTTGATAAGCCCGGGGCCCACCCGGGGATCGGACAGGTCGAGTTCATTGATCACATGTGTTTTATATAATGATTACCCATTGATCTTTTTTATCTCCAGCAGGCAGGACACAGCACGACAAAATTAGTCCAGTGGTCTATCTTAAAAAAAAAAAAACACACAACAATCACAATTTTTTTTAATCAAAATTTCATATACTAGTACATGTAATAGCGCAACACTGGGCTTATTCAATTAAACTTATATAACACGTTCATTCTTTACTATTTAAAATATATTATTCCTATATTTCAAATAGCTTACATATAAATTTTCTTTGATCTAGGACGTATGTTTACTGTCTATATTCATGTAGGTCCCTGCTTTGATTCAACAATATATATTTGAGTTATTTCTGATAATTATACATGCAGGGACCTATATCTGTATATAGGTCCCTGATACCCTGATACATGTAATTAGACAAGGAAAACTTATAACGAGGTTTCAAGATGTTGTTGTGTCACCCATAAAACACATTCCTTGTATAACCAAAGAGCAATCACCGAAGAATTCAATGGGAGTTGTGGTTCTTTGAATTCATTAAACAATATCCAAAAAGTTGTTTAATAAATCATGAGAAATTTTGAATAATCAGTAACCTTTAAACAGTAAAAATCAGTTAAATGTAAAATGCTCCCGAAATAAAAATATTAATCATGCCAAATGCACTCATAACACATATTTATCAGGCCCGTAGGAAGCAATTTGAGAGGCACAACCAAACATTTGAGGGGGCACTACCAAAAATTTCCTGACAAGCAAAAAAAAAAGAAAAGAAAAGAAAAAAAAGGTCATCAGACGTTTTTATTGAGGGGGCACAAGCTTATAGTATCTATGTTTACTATAGTAATCTAATATATCGGGAAAATTATTGGGGGGGCACGCCCCCCCCCCCCCCGGTTCCTACGGCCATGTTTATAGATTTATAATTATCTAATACACATGTATATTGTATCCTCATAAAACTTGTTTTATCTATTTATTTATTTTAATACCAAATACTTTCATCAGTTCATTTCTGAAATATATATTTACTGATTTTATTACAAACAAAAACCGACATAGTTTTACTGCCCTTATCATAGCGAGATTTAAACACCCCAGTGTTGAATGAATTCAGTAACAATGATTTATTTAGGTAGCAGGCTAAGTCGTAATTCCCAGGTAGTCTAGTGGTTAGGATTCCGCGCTCTCACCGCGGCGGCCGGGGTTCGATTCCCCGTCTGGGAAGATTATTTTTAAGATTTTAATATATTTATATGTAATACACTTTATTTTTCAAATTCCTTACCTTTTGAATACTTCAAAAATTAATGTCATTAGGCCAAAATAAAAAATAGGTTTGTTTCCCCTAACGCGACCGACCCACTTAAATCGTGCCGACTGAAAAGTTTTTTAAAAAGATTATTCAAATATTTATTTTTATTGTTGATCAACTTTATAAAATATAATTTCATCAAAATTCGTTTTTTATCAGAATGGCGGCTTTTGTTCTACTCTCATTTGGCGCCCACAACATATGGCCACAGAGGGTTATTTAGTGTTATAAAACAACGGCGATGTATCAGTCTTAATATACATCTTTAACTTATTAGCACAATCCTACACTCTTCAAACATTTCGTGAATTAAATATAGCATGACTAAGGAGTGTTAAGATGGTATTTACAAATGTGTCTTCTAAATTTAACGTACGTAGTAAGCACGACAAAGCCTGCCTCATGAGCAGATGAGGGGCCCACTTTGTGTATGCATATCAATAAATTTCACTGCATTTCATTCGTTTTGATCTAAAAAAAAACACTTCATGTATGATTCTATTTTTATTATATAGGACCATAGGATTTGTAAATATATCTTTGTATAATTATCTCATCTTTATAAATATAATGTATGTCGTTTCTTCATTCCTTTTATTTATGGGGTAAACTTAGTGACTATAACATTAGATATATGAAATTTTAATCATTTTAGATATGGTTTGGTTGAATTAAATTTTGTTTATACAGGTACTCTCTTTTCAAATAGTGTTATAATCTTTAAAGTTGGCTTATGGTACGGCTTCCTGAGAAGTCCAGTGTATTTTTCTTTTCTTTAGTTGGACCCTTGAAAATAGGTTGTTTCTTTGCTTTAAAATACTTTTAAAAATTGCTGGGTGGACAACATTTGAACAGCTGCCTTGTGGAGGGCTCCTAATTTAGACTTTTTCTCGGCACTTATGGCCATTGATCATACATAAAAAGCATCAGTAAGGGATCTTTATCGTGCCAACATCTACATGTATACTGTGACACTGCATTGCCCTACGTTTTTTGCGATCTCATTTGACTGACCAGTTTCCACGCCCCACTTCGGGACCTGTGACTTAGAATAAGCTCCTGAATTACGTCGTGACTCCAAAACGAAACACTATAATTACTGCGCCACGCGAGGCCCTTGACATTTAATTTATCTGTGTAAGCACTCAAAGATGATGGTAGGTTTAAAAAAGTATACTCGGATGGCCGATGGTTGAGTATTTGCGAATCTTGTCTTTTTGTAAAAATTCAATTTCAATAAATTTAAAATTAAGTTCAAATGAAAAATATTTGTGAATTAATTTACCATACATGTTAAATTTCATTTGTATGATATTCGGTTTAAAAATCGGTTTCTTTTCTTTTGTTTTTTCTTATTAATACAGATATTATTCAATTTTCAGAATGTATTTTCAAAACTGCTGTCAGAAAAAAAAAATAATTTACCTACCTACCTACTCAACTTGAAATTTTAGGGTCGGGTTAGGGGAAACAAAGATATTTTTATTGATGGCCTTAGTTATCTGTAAAATAATAAAATCAAGAAACAAATTCATGCTAAAAATAGTCTTGGAATGCTTATTGTATAATTTGTGCTATGTGGTACTCAGTTACTGGTGAAGGCAGGCGTCTAAAATTTAGCTGGCGCCTTATCAAAAAAATTCAGTTACCAATTCAAATTTTTAGTCGCCCAGACAATTATTTTTAAGGCACCAACTTAAAAAGTTAGTAGTAATCAACATAGGGACCCATGACGTGACTAAGAAAACACGACATTTCCATTGCTTGAAATAATTTCCTCTTCTTTTAAGGACAGATGATACAAACATTTTTTCTCTTTGGAGGAAACTTAATATCATGTCACAGTTTTAGAAAAGTGGATAATTCTTTGATTTTGTTCTCCTTAGACGTGTAGAATGAAATGCCTTCCATATTTCCCTTAGAGAGTACACAACTAGAGTAATCATGGTAAAAATTTTTAATCTTTATTCATTTACCCTCTTTTTTTTCTTCAAAAATGTTTTCTAAAGGAGCACAGAGTGAACTGATATTACATTTACTCAATAACCTGTTGTATTTTCTTGCATAAAAGAAATAACAGTTGAATTTTATGAGGAAAGCAAAATGGTAAAAATCAGCCTGTATGATTTTTACCATTTTGTTTTTCCACATAAAATTCACCTGGCTTGGTATATTTTTTAAAAGATTAAATTATATTACACTTTTAGCACCAAGCTAACATATTCTGAAATTTATTTTCATCTGTAAACCTTAACTGAGTGTGATTTGTCCATATTTGTAATTTTATTGAAGTATCAACTAATATTTTCCAAGTGTTATTTCTTTTATGCAAGAAAATACAAATCTCAAAACTTTTTGACTTCATTTAAAACTTTATGGGAACTTTCGCGTGAATAAACAGAATAGACTTTGTGTGCACGTCTTTCTACGATAGAGTTTTGCGATGATTGGTTGCCCGATATAAATCCGACTCAGATTTTTATGCTTTATATTTTTGCAATCTCTCATCAGATGTAGGAAACATAAATGAATGAATGAATGAACA